AAATTAAGTTTATCAGCCATTTCGAATGCTCGATATTGATTTTCGATGCAAGAATTTTCAAAAATCAACACCAGATATCAAATTAGCACCCTCAAAAACACAAGAAATATATATTTTCTCTTTTTCCTTCATTTTTCAGAATTTTTCAATTTTTCGTCCGCTATTTTAAATTTTGGATTTTCAAAAATATCAATAATCGATAATAGAAGTCCTACAACCATACTGATAGTGAAATAAAATTGTTTAGTAGGTATACGTTACATACTTAACTCGAAAAAAAGGAAATTCAGTTAAAATAAAAAATGAAATTTTCACTAAGTTTGAGCAACCATATTGTTTTTGGATCGCAAAATTTTGAAAATCTGTTTGCAGATTCAGAAAGAGCAAGACTTTTTGCTTCGGAAATGGTATTTTGCATGTCGATTTCAAGCGATTCTACCCATTTAACGAGACGATAAACCACTCGGTAGTCTCATAGTCGATTGGGAAGAAATGGGTTAACTATGATTATATTGTAACTCGAAATAATCTGTACACCATATTGTAAATCATGTCATAATAATGTACTATAATTATATTGTAAACTTCCAAAAGAAGTACATATTGTATATTTTTGTCATTATATATAGTTTCATATGTAACATTTTTATATCTAATAACCAAACTGGTTGATGTGACCATCATAAGCAATAAAAAAAAAAACTTATTTGTTCAAATTTGATTTTCTAGGATCGATAACAGCCGGAGAAATTTATAAATTTTTTTTCTGATAAAAATACTGCATGGAATTGCACAGAACGGCTTTAGCATAAGTAACATATATGGGTTGGGTTGGGTTATTCTTGGTTCTTTCGATTAACTTATAACTATATGTTGTAGGTTACGGATTTTTTTTTACTTTGGCACAATTGTTGTACACATGAAAGTAAGATTTTTCCCTAATTTTGAAGACGATAAATTAATTATATCAAAAGTTATTAACAATTAAAGAAAAATGATAAAAAATTTTCAAACGGCTATATTTTAAAAACTAATAAAGATATCGAAGTCGGATTTTTGTCAAAATACTTATAATGCCTTAAAATTTCGAAATAATTACAACAATAAACAATACAAAATTTTTTTCGAAAGTTATTAACTTTTTGTTTAAATAATTGCTAATATCTCAAAAAGTATTTTTTTTTTGAAAAATTCTTGCTCCGGCGTGTTCCTGAGGATTTTTGCTATCGAAATCAATCATAAAATTCAAGGGCCCGACATATTGGAAAGCGTAGTCCTAATCAAAAGAAGATGCGTTAGCGTAAGACCACGAAGACGTCTCGCTGCCGCGCCGTTGCGACGTACACCGAGGCATCTTCTTTTGATTAGGGCTATGCTTTCCGATATGTCAGGCCCTTGAATTTTATGATTGATTTCGATAGCAAAAATCCTCAGGAACACGCCGGAGCAAGAATTTTTCAAAAAAAAATATACTTTTTGAGATATTAGCAATTATTTAAACAAAAAGTTAATAACTTTCGAAAAAAATTTTGTATTGTTTATTGTTGTAATTATTTCGAAATTTTAAGACATTATAAGTATTTCAAAAAAAACCCGACTTCGATATCTTTATTAGTTTTTAAAATATAGCCGTTTGAAAATTTTTTATCATTTTTCTTTAATTGTTAATAACTTTTCATATAATTAATTTATCGTCTTCAAAATTAGCGAAAAATCTTATTTTCATGTGTACAACAATTGTGCCAAAGTAAAAAAAAATCCGTAACCTACAACATATAGTTATAAGTTAATCGAAAGAACCAAGAATAACCCAACCCAACCCATATATGTTACTTATGCTAAAGCCGTTCTGTGCAATTCCATGCAGTATTTTTATCAGAAAATAATTTATAAATTTCTCCGGCTGTTATCGATCCTAGAAAATCAAATTTGAACAAATAAGTTTTTTTTTATTGCTTATGACGGTCACATCAACCAGTTTGGTTATTAGATATAAAAATGTTACATATGAAACTATATATAATGACAAAAATATACAATATGTACTTCTTTTGGAAATTTACAATATAATTATAGTACATTATTATGACATGATTTACAATATGGTGTACAGATTATTTCGAGTTACAATATAATCATAGTTAATACAGTAATGTAGTGTTTTTATACAGCAATTTTTCAAAGTTTTTTAATTTGGTGTAGTAGTTATTTTTAAAGTTAGTAGTTTCCTGTACACATATGACGTCTGGATTTTAATCTACTATGAGTTTTTGTAAAAATTTAAATTGGTGCTGTAATCCGTTTATATTCCATTGTATTATTTTTTTATCCATTTTTAATTATTATGAAGAATCTTCAGCAGACGATGCAGCTGTAGTTGAGCTTTTAATTTCTTGGTTTAATGCGTATTGTTTTAGTTTTTTTGTAATTCTAGTGAATCTACTTTTGAGATTTTTATGTTGTGCCAAGGGATATAGTTCATTCATTAGATCTATTAAACTATAAATATTTTCGGTGTAGTTTAGTGCAATTAAATGTGGAGTGGGAGAACCATGTATGTTATCTAAAACGCTTTTGAATTGTAATGGGTTTAGTAGTTTATCTGATTTATTTAATTTGCTTTCGAGGGGAGCTAACATTTCATCTAACGTGTGTACACTTACATCTGCTGTTTTCTTTTTTTTTTGTAGTCATTTTATTTGTTTCTTTAGGTTTCGTAAAACTTTGGTTTTCTTGGGAGGAAATTGTGTTTTCTGAGATTAGAGATCTTGTTCTTTTAAGAGGTAGTGTATTTTGGGTATGAGAAATATTTTTTATTTCTACATCTAGTGTTTGTTCTGGTATTTGGCTATTTACGGTATTTGCAACTATTAAGGGTGTTATTGAATTTTGTGTTAAGTCGGTTGAATTTATATCTTTTGTTTTGTTATTGATATAATTAATAGAGCTATCTTGAGAAATATTTGAAGAGTTTTGACTGTTTTTTGCGAGTTGTCCTTGTTGGTTACATAAAAAGCATTTGAGATCATCCGTATTAAGAAAAATCAAAAATTTAGTATTATCGTGTGTAATTTCTATCGAGGACGGCATGGTTTCAATATCTTCAGGATGTATATACATTTGGCGTCTAAGACTTCCTACATGGCTATAGCCATCATCTGGTACACCGGCTTTAAGGAACGATATACCCGAGCTTCTACATATTTTTAGATATTCGTCAATACATGAGTGTGGGATCGAGGGACACACATTTGATATTATGATATGTTTACGTCGAGATATTAGTAGGCGCATTTCAAGGTTTGTCTCTCTTGTAGTAATTGATTTGTGTTTACTTACAAATTCCTCAGCGAGTTGTTTACATGATATACAAATAAGTTCTTTGAACCTTAAAATGTTTTCATGAACTTTGAAATTTTCTTCTGATATAAAAATACTACATGGGGTCCCCAGAACTGCTTCATCGGTTGTAAGGTATCAATATATGTTTATATTGGTGATAATTTTTTCGATTCGCTACGTTGCTCTAGCGAAAAAAGGCCGCGCAAAAGATGGCTCCCATTGACTAGATGTGTACTTTGGTATGTTTTATATAATGATCAGGGCGGACCTTAAGAAAACTATGTTCAACTAATTTTTTCATTCGTATTACAGTTCTTCTCATAAAACAATGCAATGCAGTAGATCCCTCAGGAGATTGGGCAGCCTCTTGGAAAGGAATTTACAAGAAAAATATTGGTTATGCCATACAAGACGCGGGGAGAGATCGATCAGCATCAAAAAAGAAAAAGATTAGACAGAGAGAATGCCGAAGAAACTAGGCTGATATTTTTTTTTTATGAATTGTTTTTCGTTTTAAAGCACAATTTTTCTAATTCGTTTTAATACGCAATGTTTTAACTTGTTAATGTGTTCTCAAAATAAATATAATTCGAACTTTTCCTTTATTTATCCCTGAACTAAACAATTAAATTTTCAGTGAAAATCAAAGTCTTAAATTAAAAAGATCCATCGTCAAAAAAAAAAAAAAAAAAATATTGTGCAAGCTCTTGAAAATAAAGCTGAATCCCGTATGTACTTTTATACATGAAATAACACAGATTTCAACAGAAATTAGCGTAAAACCGACAGAGAAACTTGGAAAAATTTGTACAATAATTATCGTGAAAAACATTGATCAATACATTATTCCTGTATCGAACATGCTCAATTATTGAACTCTTAAAAGTTCGTTTAACTTATGTACAGATGTAAATATTGTAACTATAATATTGTTTATTTTGCTTTGTTTGATTATAACATAAATGCGCTTTGTTTTTTGTCAATGTTTAAATATAAGAAAATAATGTATTTGATTAATTTATGGTTGATTATTATTAAAATTAATTGAACTTGGTTTGAACCTACATTTAAATATATTCCCGTATGAGTTTATTTTTATTCTCAACGACAATCAGTCTCAAATTAAAAAAAAAATTAATTTTTTGAAATCCCATATGGGATACAACGTGAGAATTTAAAAGAGGTATACATTTTGTTGGAATCCCATATAGTATACTACATGGGAATTTTGATGAAATAACAAGATGAGATCCCATATAGAGGCTCCCATGTCATATTCAACATGGGATCCCATCAAGGTATTTCCGACCGGGAGTTGTTACACTTTTTAAAAATAGCTCTTTTCTTATAAAGCAACACATTCTTATTTGTCGAGTATTAGATAGTCGTCTTTTTAAATTATTTTAGTTTATCACATCAAGAAATCCATGCAGATCAATGCAGCTATAAAAATCAGTGTCAACCAGCATGAAACATACTGAACGCCGATTCACAATATATATATAATTATCCTAATATATGGAAATGGACGCCATATTATTCCGAAATTGGTTCGACCAATCAGCGCGAAAGACGTATTTGTCCGCATTTTTTCTAGATCCTCTTTAGATGTCAGATCCCACAGGGACAGGACTCAGTCAACTGAGTCAACTCATTGTCCGGTGTCGTCGGCGATTCACGCTATTCACAGAGTTGTCGGGTAGTGTTTTTGACTGGTCGCGGCGTGTACAGCGTTGCACCTTACACGGTTCTTTTATAGGTTATAGCTATAGGTTTTCTTGATATGCAGTGTGTATGTATACAAACCTACATTTAATATTTTTCTGTGTGTCGTGTTCATCTCTAATATAAATGTTTTATAGCATGTTATTTTACTATTTACAAGAAATTTTACTTAAAACATGCGTTGGAAAGAAGGGAGAAGTATGAACCGTAAAACGTAAACCATCATGAATGAAGCAGACGCCGGCTGACTGCTCACAGTTAGCTTGCTATTTTAGAGAAAACTTAAAGCATTAGCAAATCGCATACACACGTGTGTGTGTATATATATATATATATATAATTGATTTATACGTTATACGTTCTTACTATTGACGTATATGCGTCTAATTACTCCAATTGTGAATAAAACAACTTTATTAAAAATAAAGAAGTTCTGTTTTCCTCTAGAAAATATTAATCAGTAACCTAAACTAGTCATAAAAATAAGATTTTCTTAAGTTTAGGAAAAAGAGAAAGTTACAGGTTATACAAATATATAGAGTCTTAGAAAAAAAGGAAAAATAAATAATTTTAAGCCGCAAATAAAGAAAACCAATTGGAAATATTTCTATACTATTTGTCTTATAATACATTTATTATTTCCTTTTTTATTAATTCAGATAATGCCATCCTCAAACTCCCTTAGTATAGCTGTAATATGCTCAAGTAATATGAACCGAAGTATGGAGGCTCATGCTTTTCTTAGGTAATTTAAATCAATTGAAATATCAATTTGATAAATTTTATATGAAGCTAATTTTTTATTTTCTAGCAAAAAAGGTTTTAATGTAAAATCATTTGGAACAGGTGATAAAGTTAAATTACCTGGCAATGCTCCAGATCGTCCAAATGTATATGATTTTGATACAACATATGAAGAAATTTATAATGATTTATTATTGAAAGATAAACAATAGTATCCTTACAATGTTTGTAAAATTATAATAATTATATAAAATATTTATATAAAATATAATTATAATAATTATATAAAATATAATTATAATAATTATATAAAATATAATATCATGACATATTTTTCCTTAACATCATCTATTAGCTACACGCAAAATGGCCTATTAAACATGCTGGATCGTAATCGTAGAATTAAAGCTAAGCCAGAAAGGTTTCAGTTATCAAAAGATAAATTTGATATTCTGATAACTTGTGAAGAACGGGTATATGATCAAGTAATAGAATGTATGGAGTCACGGAAACAAGAAGATAATCAGCCTGCTCATTTAATAAATATTGATATTCAAGATAATCATGAAGAAGCAACTGTTGGATCTTTTCTAATATGGGAATTGGTTTCAGTGGTATGGTACTAAATTCTAACATAAAATTTTCTTTCATATTAACATTTTTAATAAAATAAAAATTTTGCTGTTACAGTTGGCAAATAGTGATGATCTTGATAATGACATTGACGAACTTTTGCATGAATTTGAATCGAAGTTTGATAAGACAATACTGCATACAGTGTTGTTTTATTGAAAAAATAGTTTTAAATGATCATACTGCTAAAAAGTGCAGAGATCACATTTTATGTCTAAACAATCATACTAAAGACTGTAAATCGATGAATTTTTGCTTCAACAATAGTTGAAAGGTCATAAATGAATGGAAACATTAATAATACATCGTTTTTAAGTGATAGCTTATTGATATTGTCAAGGAAATTAATTTAAATCCATGATAAATGAAGTTAAATAATTGTACAAAATGCTCTATTGTAATATACAAAATGAATTTTAATTTCATATGTATGTATATACATTATTTACAAATGTATTTACTTGCATATATGTTAAAAATGGTCTATAAACATGTGGATGAATTATTCCTATATTTTATTAATGTATACAGAATATAAACTATTAAATATAAAACAACAATATCACTTTTGAATTGATTTTCAATGCTGATCAAGATGAGCATATGTTCTTCGAGTTTTTTCTCGTTTTTTAGATTTTTTCATTTTCCAAGGTTTTTCTATGGTATTTACACTAGATAAAGATCCACTTGCTGTGTAAGAATCGCTAAAATAATTTTCAAATATTAATTTTAATTTTAATTTTATTACTAATTATTTTAAATAAAAATTTTTATTTTCCAAAAAAATATTAAAACTTACGTTTGAAGTTGTTTTTTAATATGAGTTTTTCCTTTCACATGTACAGTGCTTTTATTATTTTGAAAAAATGCGTTATCTACATCTTCACTACTGGGTTTTGTTATTCTTGCTGCTCTGATGGCTCTTGGTGGCAAGTCTCCAGTAGATCGAGTTTTTTTTGTAATTGATGGGAATAAATGAAATGTACTTTGATCAATGCCCGGTGGGGCTGCACAATACAGCAGCTTACCATTGACAAAATCTTTAAGTATATATCGAGCTGAACGAGCATTATCAGGTTGTCCATTTTGCGTCATAAATCCTCTATTAACTACAAAATTGAAAAATTTAGTGAAAAGGAAAAAATAATCAAGCATTGAAAGAAAAATTTATACAGCCGTGTGCATTGAGGATTTCTTCTGCAATGGGTGGTCTGTTTGGATCTTCTCCTTCTATAGGTCGTGGAATCATAATTCCATAAACATCTTCTATAATATGCCTTGGTATAAGTGTACCTAATAAACTCATAGGTGGCACATGGTCTTTCATTTGATTTATTGGTAAAATGCCATTTAATATCATTTCAGCTTTAGTACTAACAAAACTGGGCATGACAAGACCTGGACAATCACAGAGTAATAATTCTCTATCTAAGTATAGTGTTTGAAAATGTTTTGTTTTTCCTGGAGTTGCTGAAACAGATACTTTTTTATCTAACAATAAAGCATTTATTGTTGAACTTTTACCCACATTGGGATATCCAACTAGTCCTATTGTTATATTTTCTGTAACTGACTCGGATGAGTAGAACGACTTGAAGAATGCAATTAATTCTTCCCTTGTTAACAAACAAGAAGAATTAATTATTTCTTTGCTTTCTTTACATGTTTTATGTACTTTATCTTGAACATACATTTCATTTTTAGCTATAGTAAGATTTTTTATTTTTTCTGACTCATCACAAAAGATAGAGCTTGATGAATCTTTTAAATCAGTCTCTTCTGAAGAATCAACTGTTTTGCCAGAGTCATTTACTTTAGTCAAAGTTTCTTCTTCAGATTCGTCATTTTTGCCATCACATTTTTGAGTAGCTTGAGTAGCTGAAAAAAAAGCTACTCTTACTGTTTTTTTTGAAAAATAATCAGCCCATATTTGTCTCTGATATTCTGTCAAAAAGTCAGCTTTATTAATTAAAACTACATTTTGCTTATTAGAATTCACTTCTTTTACATATTGTTCCAAATCTTCACAGCGAAAAAGTAAAGGATTGCGTGCATCAACAATCTGAACAATAACATCACTCCGCTCAATCACTCTCCATAATTGCCTCCAGAATTCTAAATTTTTTTCATACGGGGTTATTATTAACTCCTTACTTTCTTGCAACAATGCTAATTTTCTTCTCCACTCCAAAAATTCTTCTATTTCTTTAGTTTTTAATTCAATAGCTGACATTGATTTATTCCATTGTGGTCTTCTTGGAATTTTCAGAAACTCTTTATTTTTTTCATGTGATTTTTCAATGTCTTTCTTTTTGTCTTTAGATAGTATGCCAATTTCACTTTTAGGATTAACAAATTTAATATTTAATTTTTCTGCTTGAAATTCTGTTCCTGCCAATTCTGCTGTAGATAAGAATTCTTGAAAGGAACTTTCTTCTGTAACTGAATTAAGATTTAACTGACCCCAATCATATCCATCCTGCATATCAATAGTATGAAGCTAAAAACAAATCAGTTTATAATAAGGCATAATTCAAATAAATACTAGAATTTTTGTTCTATAAACTAAACTAAAATGATGTATAGTTTAAAATGGATAAAATTCTTCATCACATTGTAAAAGTATTGTTATTATTTATTATTACTATTGTAGTCAAATTAATTTTTAGGCATATATTTTTTGACATTTATTTTGTAACTATTCTTACAAACAAATGCCTACTAAAAATGCAGTAATTCAATTTTTTATAACAATCAAAAAATAAAAGCGACGCTAATCAATAACGTAAACAGTGAAAAAAAATACTCACATAAGAATCAGACACTTGGCTACGTTTATTAGATCCAAAACGATCTTTTATTAATGCTCGGCCTAAATTCTTTTCTCTGTTTTTCTTTCCCATTTTAAAGAAATAAACACTTTGATTATCACTGGTTTTTAAGTTTAATAAAATGTCGGTTAGAATATTGGTTATAAAGACGCTAGAAGTGCTGTAAATTGTGTTATGCTTATAGTAACTATAATTTCTTCTATTTATTAAAATGTTTTTATGATATTATAAACATGATTTAGTGCACAAAAGAAAATGTACAATGATTTACAATTAATTTATATGTAAATACACCAAATACGATTCATGATGGTAATATGTAATAGAAAGAATATACAATAAATATCCAACTTTAGTTTCTAAAATGCTAACTCGTTTAATCTAAGTATATGATTCAACTATTCCACCACTTTTCAACTATATTAACTATACACGTTACATATAGCCACTAGAAAACTGCACGTGGTCTTAAACTCTCAACACTTAACCGTGGAGATTGTATACAGGACCACAGGAGGCAGCTCTACAACTATCCCCTATCTACTACAGCCCTATCCCCTCGGTACAAAATTTTCCCTGCTCGTGCTCGGCTTGTAATTCGGCAACATGACATGTATGTATGTAACATCTACTGTAATCTAGGAGAGGCAGCGCCTCTAGCGGAGCACATTGGCGTAATTGGCGTTTTCGAGCTAATCGAGGCTGCATTATTTGATGAATGTTCCATTATTTAATGAATTATCTGATTGATATTATTTGAAAAAAAAAATTTAATATTGGAATGAAACTTCAGTGCAAAAAATAATCCATCTACGTCTTTAGAAAGAAGGTTGTCTTTATTAAAGCATTTGTATAAACGTTGGTGTAAATATCGTCTTGAACACAAAAGTCATTTATAAAAAAATGAATCATTTGTTAAATATGCTTACTATAAATATAGCAGTTGATTCACGACAATCTAACTAGAAAAAATCAAGGGAATTTTACAAATATTTACATCGAAACTGAATTTCTGACTATTTTTTGCATCCAATACTCATGTTCACAGATGTTTTGATGACAGTTGCTGCACTTTTTAAAAATAGCTCTTTTCTTATAAAGTAACACATTCTTATTCGTCGATTATTAGATAGTCGCTTTTTTGAATTATTTTATTTTATCATGTTATGAAATCCATGCAGATCAATGCAGATATAGAAAATTAATGTCAAAAAGCACGTAAACGTACTGAATGCCGATCCGTCGGAGCAGGTCGGAGCCACACTGAGGGAATATTTATCTCTCGAAACATTCGTATGATTTTGTACACACTATTCAATCTATATTTATTGACATACATACAACATGGTTTAAAAAGTTAAAAAGGCAGCGACATTAGTTTTTATTTGGAGAATGGATTTGAAGTTGGTTGTTCGCACGAATACTTCGAGATTTTTGCTATTCGATATATTCGTTAGAGCACGAAGGAAATTTAAATCCACTTCCGTTTAGTTTAGATTTTTATGGATGCATCATATCATCCTGGCGGCTTTGAGATTGGGTGCGATGGGATTTGAGCTGTGCCTGTGCGGGCAGATAGTTTACACATGTACTTAGTTTGTGTATGGGGTTGACGCTTAACTATCAGGCAGTACGAACTGACTGGTTATAATTGCTACGAGGGAACAAAGAATAAGATATATATTCTGTATCGTTCGCGAGGTAAATATTCTACTTTATATGACAGATGTAATTAATCTTATTTTTTTATTGTTTAGGCTACAAACAAATGCTAACGCGATTACTTCTTTTGGTCAAAATTCTTGTATTTACTTTTGTTTGTTAGGTTATCACATCAAACAACAATTGCGTGACGTCCAATTATACATTGATTTATTCGTTTAAATTTTTATATTTTACTTGAATCAGAAGAAACAATTGTTTTTCAATTAAACAAAATTTTTTAATAATGGTTTTTATTATTTTTAGAAATATGGCCCAATTTCAGTGGACTCCTAACAAAAATAATATGAATTGTGAAAGCATAGTAATGCTAAGCCCTATTACAAAGACCCCAATTCAGCAAAGTAATATTCAATTGAAAAAGAGTTTTCAACATGGTACAAGTGGTTTATCTCTCTTACCAAGTCATATAACACCTCCCTCTGGCTTAACAAAGTTTATAGCTAGAAATCCATTTGAAGCAGACCTAACTAGTAAACTACACGTTTCAGTTATAAGTCCAACAGTATTTACAAAGGTATTTAAAAATTATATTGTTTTCTCGTCGTTTCAATGTTAAATTAATTTTTCTGAACAATTTCATCAAATGATGTTCAGGTTGTTAGCCCAGCTCAAAAAGGGTCTCCGCAATTTAGTTGGAGTATAGATGAACTAGCAGTTATGCAACCAGCTAAAATAGATGAATTCCCAATACAACAAATGCACTGTTCAGATCCTGAAATAGAAAAAAATGCCCAAGAAGCAATTAGTAGGTTTTTTAATGAAAATCAAATTATTCCCAGTCCTTTGGAAATTAAAACAAATGAAAGTAATTTAAGAGTGAATAGGGATTTGAAAACACCTATAAGAGCTGGAGAAAGTATTTATGAGTCAAAGGAAAATGACAATTTGAATAAAGATACAAAAGAAAGTAAGAAATTGTATAAATTAAGTTTTAGATTTTAGAATATACAATAGAAAATATTTTTTCAATTTATGAATTTATATACAGGTTGGACTCAAACTGTATTGTCCTTACCACCAGTATTACCTCCAAGTGTTGAGGAAATTCTGAAACCTTACTTTAATTTTATTCAAGTACGTATTCATTCGATTTCTTTATATAAGTGCAAAAGATTAATATAACAAACAATAAAACATTCAATTTAGGATCAAAATTTAGATAATGAGGAGATTAACACAAGCAATACTTCATTGAGAAGAAAATTATTTTTTGAAAACCACAATGATTCTCATAATGAGTCAAGTGATTCAGAAGTGATATCTCCTATCAAATCAAAGAGTCCCTTTGGTCATTGCTTAAGCCCGCCACATAGTGGAATGTTTTTTCATGGTACCCCATTAAGAGTAGGTACACATGTTGTACTATAAATGTATAGAGGCAAAAATTAACCCTTTGACTGCGATGCGCTCTCGGACGAATCCATATATATAGGCGGCACATTTTTCGCTTGTCAGTTAATCGTCAGTCGCTGCAAATAATGGACACTGAAAGTGATCAAAACAGTACCCGGAAATTTGATGCCATTCTTAGATTTTTTAAAAATAATAGCAAAAAAATTAAAAATAGAGAGCGTATATATACGCTTTTCGTATAAATTGACGGATTTGTGAAGGCGTATTAACGCCTTTAGCAGTTAAAGGATTAAAGTAGTATATAAAGTAGTATATTTGTACAAAGGGTTTGTGCAAATATTAAACTATTATTTATTTTAAAGTAAAGATAATGCTCGTACAAATGCTGTTTAGTAAACTTTAAAATAACAATAAAAAATTATTGTACTTTTGTACGTATGTTTGTAATATTTTTTATTGTTTAGGCTCGTACCACAATATCTCAAAGAAATTATGGGACTCCTTTGGCATATAATGAAAATTCTTCTCCATGTAATGTTTCTCCAATTAATAATCCTACACTAAACATGTCTTGTCAGAGTACTGAATCTCAAAGCAAAGCTAGACTTGATTTTACAAAAGATATGAGTATAGAGCTTTCTTGTTCTGAAGACAATCGTGACGATTCTGTAAAGGAAGACTGTAAGTTCAGAAAAACAATTTCTATATATTGATGTAATAAACTTGTGATTAACATGTTATGTTATTAAAATTTGTTAACAGGTAAAACCTTGTTTTCTGAGGAAATTAAAATGATTGTGAGAAAAAATGCAAATGTAAATGAAGTTAATGAAGGAAATCATGATATCACACAATTGATGGTTTCTAATGATAATTTTGTCAAAATTAAATATGAAGATAAAGAGAATTTTGTTTCAACTAGTTTCAGCAACAATGAAAAATCTAAACTAACTGAAATTCATAAAACAAATTTTAGTGAGATTTATGCAATGCAACAAAGCAACATGCTTTCTGGTAATTGCGTTCAGCCAATGGCATTTAGTTCTACTCATGATACTGGATATCAAACTTATAGTAGCAGTAATATTACCAGTAATTTTGACAGTTATAGTAATTCAATGAAGCAAAAATTATGTTGGGATGAACGAACTACACAAGCAGATGATGAAGTTCAATTAACAGACTGGAAAGAAAATATGAAAAATGTAATAAGTTCTACACCATCTAAATTTAGATGCATGAACGGTTTTTAAGCTTGTTCAGTTATTGTAGGATAGATTATTTATGTAATTTTACCTTACCGTGTAAAATGTTGAACAAATTTAAGATTTCTTAGATGTTAAACATATATGTGGAATAAGGCACGTCAAATAATTGTAAAATGAAAAAAATATTTCAGCTGATTTAAAAGAAACTTAAAACGTTAAAAAAACTTATTTTTTAGCTGAATTTAGTAAATTTTACAAACCATAAACTTATAAAATTTCATATATTTTGTGATATGCTCAAAGTCTTAGAACTTAACTTCGTTTTTAATCATTTAAAATTTTTCTAAAACATTGTAAATGCATTTTTCTTATGATAATAATAAATGCTGACTGAACTAACTATAATCGGGGTAGTTGAAGATTTAGGTAATTATGATTCACAATTGTTTTGAAAATTTATGTAACTTTTGCATTGAATCAATCGATATTCCTTTGTGCAATTTTTAGTAATAAAATACTTTTGATAAAAATTATCTTCTACATAAGTTTAGATGGAATACCAATGATAAGATTATTGGAAATTATGTATTTACAGATATACTATATCAGTAAAATTGTAGTTTTTCGAACTTTTTATATAAATTTACATATTTTAATTTTTTAATAGCTCATTCTCTTTATGCAATTTGCAAGAAATAAGGCTAATAAGTCATACAAAAGATTTTTTCAGTGATTAATTGTAGTCGATTTTCATTCATTAAATTGCGATTTTATACAGTATAAATGAAAAACATCTTGAGAGTTCATTAATATTTTAGTTTCGTATCATTGTACATATGTGTATATAAGACATACACATCGGAATTGGGAATCTGACCGTGGTGGGAATCTGCCACTTAGACTATTTGTAGTTATGGCCAGTGACCAACTACTGACCAAGTGAACATTGACCACCTGTTCTGTATTGTTCGTATACATACGTGATTACGTATATGTGCATACTATATGTATGTATGTATATGGTAAAGTATAGTTGAATTTGCATCCGATTGCGATATTTCGATTTGTCCGTAGCAGTTACTCCACTGCAAGGCACATGCTGTCATATTACTTAATTCAGTCTACTTCTGTCTGATCTGATAGAATACTTAATAATCTAAAGTCGACAATTATTTTGCTGGCAATTTTTAATATTAGCTTAATAGTTTCTGTTTTGGTTCGTTGATCGCAAAAATTAACACTAAGATGAATCACTTGCAGGTTTTTTATCAAAAGGAATCAAAGTACTGGAATATATAGGTAACTACTACTTATAAAAAAATAAGTTTTTATGTGAATGATAATTCGTGTCTAGCTTGGGAAAAAGCATTTTTCGGCTACAAAGCTTATTAGTCAAAAGTCATTTCTTAAAAAATCAATTTTTAATTTTGTATCCGTAACAATGACAACACACCTATAGGCAAACATATTGTTCGCGCATAACCTGCTCGAATTTTATTCACGTCTGTTTTTATTAATTGACTTGATATAACAAATATAAATATAGTACAAGAAAGAAAGTGCTGAGTGCAAAGACATAACAGATTGTATGATTAATTACAGGTTATTTCGCATTTAATCATCATGTCTGAAGCAAAAGAAAAGACACATTATAATATTGATGTTGTGTTACCCCAGCAAGGATTACTTTACAGTGAAGACACACCAGATTACATACTTTGTAAACCCAAATTAATGCCTCTAAAGTCAGTGACTCTAGAAAAACTTGAAAAAATGCAAGCAGATGCTGAACTCAAAATGAAAGATATGCAAAACACAGAAAACACGTCTACTGAGCATTGACGTAATTAAAGATCGGTGTAGATCAATTTGTACAAATAAATGACATAGAATCAATATTCAAAATGTCATTTGCACCACTCGTGACTGAGATTATTTTAGCTTTTTGTCTTGCTGCAACATTGTTATACAAATATGGAAATGTCTTTCGCCAGCATCCAATCGTAACACTTTCAGTTTTAATCGCTTGGTATTTTTCATTACTTATTATATTTGTTTTACCATTGGATGTATCTTCAGTAAGTACAACTTTTATTAAAAACTAATTTCAGTGAAACTATTTCAGGATAATTAAAATCTATTTTTATTATTTTAGACTGTATTTCGACAATGTGTGGAAAAAAGTATTGGAAATTTAACTGCAACAACAATAAGTTCTTCGGAAAATACCAATAACCTAACGCCCACATCAAAACCCACTCATGAATGTAGAGAACCATGGTCAATGGTACCTTCTCCAGAAACTGTGTACCAAGATCTTTGGAGGATTGTATATTGGACATCTCAATTTCTAACATGGTTAATTCTACCACTAATGCAATCTTACATAAAAGCTGGAGATTTCACAGTGCAAGGAAAATTGAAATCAGCTCTAATAGATAATGCAATTTATTATGGAAGCTATTTATTCATATGTGGTGTGCTTTTGATTTATATAGCACTGAAACCAGGTGTAGATTTAGATGGGTAAGTGACTTTTAAGTTGTAATAATGTTTCAAATTACTATCTTGTCATGAATCCAATATGGGCTAAATAGTTTTAGCAAAATTTATTTATTATAAGTAAACACTACAAATCATTTACTCATCAACTTCTTGTATTTAGGCCAAAAATAAAAGCTATAGCTTCTTCAGCCTCAAATACTTGGGGTTTGTTTCTACTCGTGTTATTGCTTGGTTACGCTTTAGTTGAAGTTCCTCGAGGATTATGGAATGCTAGTAAGCCAGGATACACTTTGAATTATAGCTATTTCAAAGCAGCAAAATTGAGTATAGAGAAATATGAAGCTGAAGAAAATGTTGATGATGTATTGGAGGTTTGTATAAATTAATATTTGTTTTTCATTATTATAGTTTATTCACTAGTAACAATACTTTTTAATTGGTTATAGTCATTACAAGCAGCCAATTTGTCAATTAATTCAGGACATCCATTTAATCGTTACCTAGAAACAATTTTTCAAAAAGTACCTGCAGAATTGAAAGATAAAATGAATCGACGACAGTTGCCTGATGATACTCCCCTTGATGTACCATCAGAGAAAGCTCTAATTAGGTTGCATAGAAACGTAATGACATTCGTTTGATTAACAAGGTATTGAGAAACACACTCAGAATTGAAAATCGTTAATGTTTAATGTATATTTCAGACTATCAAATGTCTTCAAACGTTACAAAGAACAGAAACGCAGTGGGGTATATTAGTAGATTATATTTTTGATTTGGAAGACATTTCAAGAAATCAAACTAGTCATGATAAAAGATTTAAACCTACTTTTCCAATACAACGATCTTTGGTGTCGCGACTATTATACAGTCCAACAATAGGTAATAAATAACAAATTTAAATAAACATAATTTAACATTATTTTATAGTAGATCAGCATAATTTACTTCTTAATTTTATTTATTTATATTTGCAGAATGGTATTGGAAATGTTTAATAAAAAATTATGTATTGAGAGCTGCTGCAGTTTGTGCTGCAACATTGTCAATAGTTGTTGTCTGGTCTGAAGTAATGTTTTTTAACAAATCACCAGTTTTATCGCTATTTGCTCGATTTGTTAACATAGCTAAAATGAAATATGATTATTTTACAATTGAGGTAATTATTATTTATTTTTGAATGAACAAACAACATATTCAATTAATTTTATAAAATTTATGTTAGGTACTTTCAACGATAGTGATAGCTTATTTATGTTACTGTGCATATTCAACGGTACTAAAAATACGAGTATTAAATTTGTATTATTTGGCTCCTCATCATCAGACAAATGAATATAGTTTAATATTTAGTGGCATGATGCTATGTCGACTCACACCACCAATGTGCTTAAATTTCTTAAGTTTAATACATATGGATTCCCATATTATAAAAACTCAAATGATGGAAACGCAATACACTCAAGTATTTTTTTAAATATGTTTTAAGTGAATTTATCTATTCATGTCAATTTATCAACATATATTTGGAATCAATTTTTGTAGATTATGGGTCACATGGACGTTATAAAAATTATATCTGATGGATTTAACATATACTTTCCTATGGCTATTCTTGCATTCTGTTTAGCAACGTATTTTAGTCTTGGAAGTCGATTATTATCTATGTTGGGTTTTCAACAGTTCTTAGGAGACGATGAGCTTACAACAGATCTTGTTGAGGAAGGCCGGGAATTAATCAAAAGAGGTTGTTAAAAGTTGCCATTAACGATCAATTCATATGAAATCATTATATAAACACAGTATAAATCGATGTTAAATCTTTCCAGAAAGGCGAAAGCGTCAACGATTAGAAGATTCTATTAGTAGACGTAGAGAATTTCAAGAAAGATTTCCAGGTATGGAAAATGCATCTGGTTTTCGATCGACAAGACAAAGTGCAGACACTGGTGTGTACACTATTGATGAGTAAATCCGTAAATTATTCCATTTTTATTAGTAAATAAAAAAATTCTTGTCGGAATAGCTGCACATTGCACGTCATCTGATAAATTATAATTTTATTAATTTATCCATATAACGAGATAAATGCCGATTTTCTAAGTAATGCATGCGGTATAAAGTGATTATTGTTTTCTTATAAACAAATTTTTTGTCTATTCAAAAAGTTCAAAATTTTAACTGAATAATTTTTTGTGAAATATTTATTGACAATCATGCTATTTGCTATAATTTGATACTAATATATATATATATATATACATACATACATACATATATACATTTAGTCTTGTGAGTATTATACTATAATGGTGATGGAATATTTAACGTATTATATAAATGTGATAATACAATGTATGTAAATTGTCGTTCCTAGAAATAAGAATAATCATGAAATTATTGTTTTAGAATTATATAATTTAGAATTATATAATATACGTGAACTTTTTGAAATTATAAAAGAAATCCTAGAGTTACCACGGTTATTTTGTTGAATTTTATGACTTGTCGAAAAAGAAAAAAAAGATTTAATAAAGAAATGTCGATATTACTAATAAAATATTTGTAGTACGGTCAATGAAAAGGGACGAGTCAATAGAGTCAGCACGCGCTGGCTTGTTACGAGATTTCGAGCCAATGTCGGAGTACAACGTTGGTCCACAGTCGTTTAGAAATGAAAATTATGGTGCCAACGATCGCTTCGATCGTGAATTGCAGACAGAAGACTTCTCAGATATTCCTGCAGATAGTTTCAGAACTTTTTCAACAAGTGGTAATCGCGTAGGCCTTCCTCCGAGAGGCTTATTTGATGACATTTAATTCAAATAGCTTACGTACGATTGAAAAATATAATTATTTCGACACCGTGCGCAAAGTTCGTCTTTACCTGCACGCTTAGCGAAAAACGAGCGTTGAAAATCGTACTTTCCACACGTCGTATCGAAAAATACAGCACGACACCTGTTCGGGAAAATTTCTCGTCTCGTGGGGCGTTTACGCTCAAGCGAAGCGAAAATCTACTTTCCCGTACTTGTATTGTAATGTACAAGATTGTTTTAAATAGTCCATAGTAGCGCCATCAAGTTGCTTTTGATTATAGAAATTAATGTTATACCGAATAACAGACCTTGCATCTGTAATTAATTATTTATTATATTATGTTCATAATAAATTTTTACATCAATTAATATTTGCAGATCTTTCATTGTATGTATTACCATGTTACAGTTGCGATACGTTGGCGTATTGATTTTAGCTTAAATTACTTTAATCTTACCGATGTGCACCATATCAACTCATTAAATAAATTATATTATTAATCATATACAACCAATTGAATGTCACAGAAATAACAATTTATTTTTTGGCTTACGTGTACTAGTACAAGTGTTAGGAATAACATCCAGTTTATTTTAATATACTATGAAGAATATCTTATATGTATATAATATGTGTGCGCACGCACGCGTTTGTATAAACATACACGCATCATTTTTTTATAAGTTGTGTCAAATGAATTTAGTTTATTATTTGCAAATTATAATTCTTAAGAGTAATGAGTAACAAGGGAATCAGGTGTGTGTAATGTAATAAGTAAGGTGAGATTCGATCAAATAAAAATCCGTTTCCTTATTAAACTCAAATTACGAGTATTTCCGGCATAGAAACCCTAGTAGTAAGTAGGAAAAAGTTATCCAAATATAATGGTTACAAAATTCAAATACAAATATAGATTAGGCGCTGCCGACGTGACAATTGAAGCCACTCAATGACGATGCTCGCTTACTAGCACGACGCGCAAGTGTTGAGGAGGAAAGTTTCATGATAATAAAGCGTAACGTAGTTCCGACGTCTCAGGAACGGGGACAGTCCTCATTGCATTTTTTGCCTATGCCGTTTCGGTGGCACCTCAGAAAACGTAGTGCGTCCTCTGCTAAGGTAGCAATGTACTCGTCCTTAGCTTTTGATAAGCGTCGCTGATTTTACGGAAACATAGTACGCGGGCGCAATTAATGATGTGCGCAGCAATTTATCGCAATGGTGATATAGATTTATCAGACTTCTAAGCGATACAGGTCGAGAGGTTTTCAGTAGAGACTTATTTCGGCGAATTTTTTAGAACATGGAAATCTGCACCTTCTCCGCGGACCCTTAGCAGCAGCTAATCAGGGAAGGATGAAGGAGATACCTCTAAGATTCACAAGACGTCTCTCTAGTACCTGAGAGCGAACGGACGTCTATACCTTTTTTATGACACGCCAAATCCTCTATTGGGCATCAGTTCGAGAAATTCCAAATTGTCGACCATCACGAAAATATGCGAAGAGCACGTTTTGAGTTTTGCTAGCAATCTGATCAATAGTCCGAGCAGCCGTGGGGAACTCGAGACTGTGGCAGTAAATCAAGCGTCTTGACGGCACGCTCACATGTTTTTTGACAAATTACTAAGAAAAGATAATGAATTATTTGATCAATAAGATATAAATAGACGAAAAATTTTGCTATTTTCTTAATTTTTTTAATAGCTAAAAGTATGTGAAAAACTAACGAAAAAAGGACGTGTTATTTATATTATTTCATTAGAATTGTCCTGTGTTACATTTATATGATTATATTCTAAAAATGAAACTAAAACAAAGCTTTCAAAAAATATATTGTTTTGTTTTATTTCTTTTACTTTTTCTTTCGACAAATTATTTACATGTTAGTCATGATTAAAAACAATACAATTTCATCATGTAAAACGGATCGGGATAGAAAAAACAGATCATACACAATCAGCATTGTATTTTTAAAACTACGCAATTTTTCCATTTAAAGATCTCGTACAGAAATGAATGACACTGTAGTGAAAGGATGCATTTTAATAAGTCAATATAAAATATTATTTTTATTAATAATAAAGTATATTGATTTTGCATTATTATTTGTGAAATGAAAAATAATCTGAGCTAATGATTTTCAACGTCGGCTAGTTCCACATGCCAGTGCATATTGCAATTATCATTCATAAATCTATTACTTCGAGATTGCAATGATGCCAATTCCTATCTCTAAAATTATTTTCCATTAAAAATTGCGGCAACATTAAAATATCAAATAGTCAATACTATCATAATAAACATCTAATAAACAAATAAAGAATGTCTAAAAAACTTCATATACGATTTTTGCTAGTACAGGTACATATAGATTTATAACATTTGCATTAATCAACACACTAAGATCAGATAACATTATATTGATAAAAGCTGTAAGCATTGTTATGGTTTTGTAAAAAAGTAAATTGACGTTCATATATATTTACGGTGGTGATCTGAGTTCTATCATAAAAAACGTTATACACAGTAAAAAAACCAAGGTCAGACTGTAAGATATAACTAATTTAACAAGTTTGAGCTGCTTCAAACAGGTAGAACTATCGAATTCGTATGGTTTTCGCTTGCTAATTGGCTTTGGTGATATTAACAATAAGTGCTCCAACATTAGCACAGTCGAGCGGTTTTGTTCTTGCTCATCGTTGCTCTCTTTGAGGCCTACGTGCTCCGTCCAGCCGTCTACATCTATCTCGTTGTCTAAATTCAGTCGAAAATCTTGTTTGCTTGCATGTGTATCGCTAAAAAAGTACGTTTGACCAATCGTTTGCCGCGACATTCGATTGTATCCGTTTTCCAAGTGTTTGTAATAATTGTGCCATGGATCGTTACTGTGAAATAATTCGGGCACGCTACAAAGTGGATAGACTTTCCATCGAAAAGTCCTAGCACTAGTGCTCGGTTGTTTGGGCAGAAAAGCTCGGTTGTATAAAAATTTATCGCTGTACAGCGTTTTATCGTGATAATCGTTGAGTTTGTGCTGCGGTCCAGAAGGCACGTTCGTCAAGATATCAGCTTCTAGATCATTCGAAGATGAGTTAGAGTGTAACCGAGTATTCTGGTGCTTGTATCTACGATAACTAGGGTATGGTCGAGGGCTAACGTGCCTGTGATCGGGAAGGGATAGGGGTAGCAGTCGAACAGGGTACTCGGCGGTATCAACAAGCTCGGGAAGCGACAGGGAGGAGGAGAAAGGGATTAGAGGCACGGGCGCGTGTGTCCGTGAAGCCGTGCCCGCTTGATCGTTTCGCTGTGCAGGCTGAGTGTACGCTAAGTCTAGAGGGGGGCAGTGAGTAACACACGCGGAGTTGCATCAGTTGTTGGGGTCGTCGGTCGGTAACGAGGCCAGCAGCAACTCGGCCTTGAGCTTGTCGAGATCGTGGAGCACCTGCAGACATCGCAAAGCGTCAGAGCTAAGGGCTGCGCAAGAGCAGCGTGTGAAAACGAATGTCGCATACCTCAAGTATGGTTGAAGCGCTCCAAGCCTGCGTACGGCAGCTGTCCTGACAGTAGACGCCTTCGCGATTGGTGAGCTCGGGTAGGCCGCGCCAGTGGTTGCTCGAGGCTTCGGTCATGTGGCATGAGATGACGGCCTCGCAAAAGGAGATGCAGCGGCGCAGCTCGTCCTCGCCGCCCACCAGACCCGCAAACTGCAGCCGTGCGCGCAGAAAGAAGCCTACGGGCCACAGCCACTCGGGGCCCTGGTGGTAGTTCCAGCCGTGCGCCACTTTCGGGTCGCTTGAGTCGTTGGCGTTGTTATAGTTGCCGTCATACGCCCAATCCGAAGGGTCTAGGGTCTTCATGCCCAGAGGACCCAGCAAGATATGTTCCGCCTGCTTTAAAGCCGTCCACGCATGCTCCGGCTCGAACAATTCCGGCGACTATAACGTAGCGCAATCCAGCGTTACAACGTGGCTCGTTACTACAAGCGATCCTTCAAATAGATTGTTTTACTTACAGCAACCATGGCAATTGGGAAGTTCGGACGCAGTTGATAGTCCGCCCAGACCTGTGAAGCTCCATGACTATCCTTATAAATCCCTCGACGATTGATCAGATCGGGTCGCAATTCGCCTTCCAAAGGCGTTTCGTTAACGTAAAAGTATTTCTCAAAGTTTGCTTTCACCCTGTCAGCCCACTCGCGATAGGTCCAGCTCTCCGCTACTCCTGCGATAGCATTATGAACGTATTACCGTTGAACCAGGGCTGACGACTGTCTTAAATCAACGGCGTCCTTACCTTTCTCGTTCTTGCGCTCTACGCTGCCGTACGGATAGAGCTTCTGCTCGTACAAGCTCGCCAAGAAGACGAGAGTGCTATGGCAGAGTCCAATGATTTCGACGGCAGAGCCGTCTCTAGGCGTCGCAGGCTTGCCCTTGTTGCCAGCCTTTTCCGATGAGCCCATTTTATCCATCCAAGTACCGCAGTTGTACTCATTTCCACCGAAAACAAATCCACTCTCGATATTCACACCGATTTCATTGTTGAAACCCTTATCACACATGTGCTCGTCAATACATCTGCCCGCATTACGCTCGCGGAAGCTCAATCCTTGGAAATGTATCTTCATGGCTTCTTGTATGACGTCGCACAGTGGTTGATTCTAAGACAAATCAACGATCTCGTGAAAAATACGCGGATATATATTAACAGAATCAACGATGATTTTACCACTTCGGTAGTGACTAGTGCTGGAGAATCGTCCGTTGGATATAGTCTTGACACTTTATCCAAAAGAATCTTATGACCATTTGGAACTTCATTCACATAACATTGGATAGTATATAACCACCACCACACAGCATCTCGACAGTTATATCTGAAAAATTATTCGCGTTATCGATGATTTCACTCAACAAATTAAATAGCATTATTTTTTTTACCTTGCATTCACTCCTTTATCCAAGAGGTTTGGAATTAATCCATGACGTAGGGTTCCGGCATATCCTAGAATAATGAACCGTGCCTCTTCATGTCTGCCAGTTAACAGCAACAAGCCCCTCAAAGAAATGAAAGTGTCCCGACCCCAATTCCTCATATAGCCAATGGCAAAATGAGGCAAACCAGCTGACAGTGTTAAACATTCTTGAATCTTTCCGTTATCAGTTTGTCGCACTTTAGGCTTTGGCGGTGCCAAATCGCTTGACAGATCTGGTAATGGTGCGGATTTTACAATGCCACCCACTTGTACGGAAACTAGAGATAACATTCTCGTAAAGTCTGTTCCATCCTTTACGAAACTACACGAAAATTTATTGTTATTTTAGAATTGCTCTTTTTTAGATTTATAAGCGTTATCCTTATAAATGCAAAGCACACCTGGACATGAGAACGAAGCATTGTTCAATCAGGATGCTGTACACATTTACGATAATTACGTCGAAGTAGCTTGGAACTAAATAGCGGGGAATGAGTTTGAATGGTTCTGCAGCTTTTTCTAGCCATTCTCCAAGAGCTACAGTACCCTGATCTTCTTTTAATCTTTGCCACGTGTAATCTGCAATTTTCAATGTATAAGATTGATAAATCAGTGTAATGATAATAAATACATGCCTATCAACCAATTTCCTTGGCGAAGATTGCCACATAAAGGATGTCCAAGATCATTGTTGGATCGGATGTCAGCAAGCAATGATATAACTCCTATTCGAGAGGAAAAAATTAATTCGTAAGTTCCAGTAACTCTGTATGCATTGAAAATGGAAAAAAACCTTGTAAACCAGCATAAACTAGCGGTCCGTAATCAGGAATATCGTAAACGCCAAACTTGTTTCCAGTCTCGTCACGTTCTTCTTGATCACATCGATACAAAGCTTTATTAAGGTCGGCAAAGTTCATACGTGATACAATTGAGTGCAATTCTGAATTGCAAGTTAACGTGAGAGTGCTTATCAAAGCATTGACTTTCTCCATAGCTGGTCTGGTATTTTTATGAAGAGATATCCTACGAGTTATAATAATAATAGATGTGAAGTAATATAGTTATCGAAAATGACGACAATTAAGTAAATAATAATTTACCTGATAGCAAATACAGAACCTGGCTGGAAATTGGTAAAGTTCAATTGAGTTATTTTTGGATCACCGGAATCAACTTTTTCAACTGATTTCGAATCCGAAATTTGTATGTGTTCTTTCACAGTGACTTTATATTCTGTGTAGCCATTGATAAAGTTATCATTCTTCACAAATTTCTTTGGCAAACTGTATGGTGAACATTCTCCATTCCTAAAAGTAATATGATATGGTTCTTGTTTTTTCAATTTTGAAATATTTGTCAACACCCCGTGCGCAAAGTGCGTTTTTCTTGCACGCTCGGCAGAAAACATGCGTTGAAAATCGCACTTTCCACACGTCGTATCAAACAATACGATACGACACATGTTCGAGAAGGAGTTTTTCGTCTCGTTTACCCTTCCACCCTCGCTTCTTTCGGGCGTAAATGCCACACGAGACAAGCATCTATTTTCCCGCACTTCTATCGTAATGAACTATTTCGACACTTCGTACGCAAAGTTCGTCTTTCTCGCACGTTCGGCGAAAAACGTGCGTTGAAAATTGCAATTTTCGTACGTCGTATCGAAAAATACGATACAATTTATGTTCGGGAAAGAAATTTTCGCTTCGCTCGGGTGTAAATACCACACGAGACAAGAATCTACTTTCTCGCACTTGTATCGTAAAGTATTATATTAGAATGATCCAATTAAATTAAAAATTACGTTGCTCCCTCATGGGCAAACGAAGCTTCAAGGATGATTTCTTCTACAACACCCTCGACTCTTAATGGTCTAATATGCCTTTTTAAATCGGAAGCGTTTGGATCAGGCTGATTGAATGCCGTAAATGCTACAAGTACAACACTTTCGTGAGATGTGGGAGAGTGTCTGGTAACTGCTACGACATCTGAATCCATTTGATCGACGAAAACCTATCAAGAATTATCTGTATTTTTATTATTTTATCGGATGATTATTAAATTATATTTTAACAATTCGTAGGTACGGACTCGATTTACGCAAGCTCGGGAAAAACAAACATGCTTCAAATCTCGCCTCGCACACGTCAAAAAAGAAAGTTAGATACATGTGCGAATAAGTGATTTCACCCTCACGTGGCCTTTTCACACTCGCTTCAATCGGGTGCAAACGTTCACATGAGGCTTGAATCACTTTCTATCACTAGTATCAAAATATACTATTTTTGCAGAGAATAGAAAATACTCTACATACTTGTGAAAATGACTGCTGTCCTAACCAAAAATGAAGATCATTTAGTGCTTTTTTGGCCGCTATAATACCGGAATTGTAGCTGACGTACTGTTTATTTTCCTTAGCTACTTCTACTTTATCGGTCCACGAAGTATATTCTCTTTCTTCATCAACAACGTGAATCTATAAATAAATAAACATAAAATATGCTGATTTAATTAAAAAAAAAACAGTTTCATAAAAATAAGTGACTGGTCGATATAAATTTTTTTGTTTACCAAACAACTAAAACTTTAGATGCAAACGTTATTTATGTATTTCGCGATGTCAAGATAAAATCAAACCGTATATATAATACGTTTTTTATTTCGATTGATACAAAAACAACTCTCTGAAACCTTTAATGAAACTTATATTTTATTTATCTATTTACATTAGTTTTAGATGAAAGATGTTTATAAAGCAATAACGAAAAGTGACAGATTTATTTTATTAAATGCAGTTCAATAAAATAATTCATCAAAATAGTTTGATTCTGCAAAGATGGAATGGAATTTTATTTTAAAAAAAATGTATATACTCACGTGATGAGGGATCAATTCGTCGTAACCTCGGTTACTACCACTAGCGCAACATGCCATGGACACCAGGGCAGCACTAGGTAATAAATCAAACACGCTTCGTTTTTCCACTGGGCTTGGATTGTCGTGAGTCTGGTCGAGGAAAAGAGCATGAGCGACACATGGTACTAAGGGACGATGTCGAGCTTGAATGAATGCCCCCACAGGTTCTCCGCCATATCGATAGACGAGGCGACCTTCCTCGTGGCTATCCCACGCCGACATTGCTTCTACAAGAGGTGCGTGAAATCGTTATAACACGCTCTGTAAGCAATATTCGTCTACTGTTATATTAGTCTCTTTTGGGATTACCTCTGATGAGTGATGTTATTCCCAGTCGATTGACAAATATATTGTCTTTCTGGTCGGAGTTGGTGAAGAGTTCAGCGACGACAAATAAGTCGGGCTTGATCTGTCTAGCAGCATCGAGCATGTACTGAAAATAACAAGCACATTACAACAAGTTTAAAGCTTATCGCCAACAAAGTACCTACTTCTGCGACAGGAATAGGAGTTGAGTGACAGTTGTCCAGTCTGACGCCATCGAAAATTTTAGCCATCTGTTGCACATACGTTTTCATGCGCTCCCACAGAACTGGACACTCTTCTGGCTTATCGCCAAACCTGCATTAAGTCACCAAATTGTACCAGTATGTATCAGTATTTTAATTTTAAAGAGACAATGAGAGTATTTATTGATTTACCTTAGCTTAACACTATCACCCCAAGCAATAAGTTCTCGGCGAATGTACACATTTGAATCAGGATCAGCAAAGTTTTTGAAAGGATCTCCATTCATCACCCAACCGTTGTGAGCCATCAAATATTTGCCAGATTCGGAATACATAATCTCTTCCCTTTCAACGAAAGATCTTGGACTTCCAGAGTCCGTGAAATACCTATCGCATTTAAACGCATGGCAATTAGAAGCCAATATGTGCAGATTATTGTTACAACTACGATATAATTGTACCTTGGTACCAGTGGATTTCTCTCACTAATTTCCTTTAGCTGAGGTCCATCCGACTGTACTCTGAAATATCGTATACCCGATATGGCATTTTCAACAGCAGCATTCAGATGATTTTGAATTTCATTGGTCATTGCATCGTTTAACTCGATCAGTTTGTTTTTGAATTCCTCTGCGCATCGCTTTATTCTAGTATCTTCGTCAAAACAGTCAGATCTGAAATGAAACGTGTGCGATTAACATCTTTCTTTATTCGAACGCATTTTATTTTAACGTACCTGTATACATTGAACAATTTTAGAGCAAGAGGCATATCAACAGTGGCTTTTAATCTGCGATACTCGGGGTCCTTTATTATAGAAATACTTTCGTTTGAATCAGCCTGATTTTCTCCTGGGATTTGATTGCGCGCCACATTTACGAATTCAGCTACGAGCTCATCAATATTCATTGTGTACAGTTCGTGAATTTTAGCTAGTGGCAAGAAGTAAGTGTGCAGCGCATGACGAATAGACTGTAAGTAAAATAATTTACATAAGAAAATGTCTTAGTCTGTAAGTGATTATTACGAGCAGTAATCAAGCATATACTGACATTGAGATGTTCTTCAGTCCGTACGATAGGTGGTATTCCTTTATGCTGCCATTCCCCGGTCGAAACTCGAATCGTTAATTCAAATAGAATAGCGTCTAAAAGATATGCAGGACGGAGATGCGGACAATTGTTGCAGTTGTAAGTACATTCCGGATAATTGACCAGAAATGGACTTTCATTTGCAGTGTGGTTCAGGACTATATCACAAATACTCAAAGTCTAGAAACAATCATTTTTATGAACGATTGTATTTAATCAGCGGTATGGCTTTAAAGATGATGTGACTCACGTTCCATTCCTCGCGCATTTTTTTCATCAACTTTTCAACGTCATCAAACGTAGTCTCTTTATCAGGAGACTCGTGAAAGGAATGATTCAACTTCAATTGATCGCTAAGACTGTAGGCTGATTTGGAGCCCCCAATCGCCTAGAAATAATAATCGAATGAAAAAAGGAAAGGTTTTATCGCGATAAGCAGCGCTATATTTACAATAATACCTGAATGGGCGTGAAATGAATCATATTGTAGCCAGACTTGTAAGATACTTTCAATTTTTCTTCCCAAGAAGAGAAGGGTCCTAGTAATTTTGATAGAACTGTTTGACATTGTATACAATCTAATGGCAGTGGTTGGTTATTAACTCCAACAGTTAGTTCTGGATCGACCAACAAATATCCAGAAGCCAAAATCTTTCGAGCTTCGAGTCCACTGAATCGTTTTATTGTCATTAGTATATTAATTCATCGCATTGTAGTAGAAATCAAAGCAACGAACGAAAATTTCTTGCTTTGCTTCCGTGTTTGCGACAAGTCTTTTCAGAATGCAGTGACCTTGTCTAATCTTTTCACTAGCGCATTATCAAAACCCTGATTAATTTAATCGCTACGTAGCTATATGCGACAATTGTTGAACTGCAAGACTTGATGCCAAGGGCATTTGCTACCATTAATCCGGATCGGATTTTCTTGCCTTGGCTTAGGAGAGCATAACAGAATTGGAGATGCACTCGACGTATTCGGTTGCTCTAGCGGAATATGTTTCAACTATTTGTTTTATCATTTGGGTAATTTAGTTTCTCGCGCTCACTTGGCAACAATTTTCGGCCAAAAATTTATCATATTTACAGCCTGAGCTGTTCCAAAGCTTGCAATAAACGTTTGACTCTCAGATTTTTGTGTTGAACGGATGACATCACGTCAATTAATTAATTTATTATAATAAATAATTAATAATATACTAAATTATTTATTATAATAAACTTTAATGTCAGTGATTTTTTAGTTCACTGGTGTTATTTATGCGAGGAATAAAATGAAATAGTCGCGGGCAATCCTATTAGCTTTATTATTTATTATTGCCGGGCAGAACGTGAATGCCAAATTAACGTGTGCATAGTGGGATAAAACGTAAAACACGTTCTCAAATGCAAAAATAGTACATTAACTCTAACAATGACGAATATTTCGTATAGAAATATTTAGATAATTTGTTAGGTATTTTTACCTTGCTTCTGTAATGTAATAATGAAAAGATCCAGCTAGTGAAACTCTCAGAAAAATTGATTCGTGATTCCATGATAATTGATAATAGGTGTTCCTCTCGAACGGAGTATTGCTAACCAAAGGGTGGTTGGTAAATACGTCAACGCTATGCCCAAGAAGTGATGCCCCAAGTCTAAATTCCACTAACCATCCTATTTTCCAACAGAAATAAATACAAAGTGTAGGATTTATCGATTAAACAAAACATTTTCAATATGTACAATTTTTATGCGATAAGCAATGAGCATTAAGTCGTGCAACTAATTTGTTAAGAAATTGCTCTTACCTTTTTTCAATCGATATAAAGTTCCTTCTAGATGTTCTCCTTTGTTTAGAGTCAAAACTCGTACTTGATCATCGCTCTGGATGTCAGCAGAGAAACCAAGATTTTCCATAGTTGGCTTTTTAGGCTGCTCGAGAACATCAATTAACGATTAAATATTTCACACTTACGTAAGAATAATGTTTCTATGGAAAAACATAATTCTTATCAGCCGGAGACTATTCTACTTATGATAACAGTTACAGCTCGAAAAAGATTAAAAAATTATTTTTAGACCACAGGAATTCTTGGGCTTTCGCGTATTTCTTCGCACGAAAAACTGACTGCAATTGGAAACCCGAAATTCGAGCTAAATTACTTAAATTAAAAGAGTAAACTATTAAGATATACTCTACGAGAACATGTTTGCCACGCTCCGACTGCGATATTTAATTTGATTGAAAAAGCAAAACCAACGTTTAACGTATACAATTTACTAATTAATCGCTCAAAATAAAGCAAATACTCCGTTCAACGTGCCAAATTTACTGTACTCCACTGTCCAGCGGTGCGTTAGAGAATAAGCAAGTAGCCAGTATTACAATTGTTTATGCATAAAAATGTCAGTTAAGCCTGCAACTGCGTAGAAAAAAATAGAAAATTGAGCAACTGTTTCATTATACAATAGTTCTGCGCTTGATAACAGATGACAGAACGTAAAAAGCTTTTGGTTTTTGACGATCCGGATTTCATTGATATTCGAAGCAAATAGGAAGCAAACGAGGAAAATCGCTCGCTGTTTTTCTCTAATCGTCCCTGCGTAGCGAATCATCAGTTGTATAGAAAAAAATGTTCATGTTCAATGTTTATATCTACAGTACGAGTGTCTATTATAAAAAATTCTTGTGTAGGCGATTAAAATAGCATGGAATTGCGAGGAGCTTGATTTTGTTCTCGTGAGAGATCGAAGCTAGTCTGATGTTACGAGCACTTGATGTAGTTTCAAGCAACGATTAGAGGAGAGCAGCGGTCAACTTACCCTTTTAATAAAGGACATTATTAAGCAGCGATTAACAAGCAAGAAAAATACACACTAGTTGTTCAGTTAAGGTCAAATGTAAATGAGCAAAGTCTGTGGAAAAGCGGGAAATGGAAATCAAAGAAACGAATGTATCGCAGTGTTAACTGAAAAAGTGCAGACACGAATACTGTTGTCGTCTAAAGGAGGACTAACTACTTACGCGAGCAAAGTGCAAAATAAAAAAGAGCTGTCCAGATGGCCCGAGCCAGAATATAAATGGTCGGTGTAAAGCTGTTGTTAAGCGCTTGAAATGCGCAATATTACGTTACACTCGTTTCGTACTGTGAGCACGCACAAAAGTGGATCGCTAGATTATTCTTATTACCCCGTGGCCCCGAGCGTAGATTACATTACGAAAGTTTTGCTTGGAAACAAGGCATTTTCAAGATATTCCTACTTCATTCGACCAATAAAGTTCAGATAACAGCATTATTTAAAGAATATTTATCAAATCTTGCAAATTTAATACCACAAGACATACATCTAAAGGCACTCTTAACAGGCCTTATGCTCATGTTTTTTTATCGCTTATGAATAGTTAACATAAATATATGATGCCTATTATCGTAATAATAGTACAAACATGATAATCGCCGATGGACTTAAATATTGATTTCTGGGTGACAAACTAGCTTTTCCAATTTACAATCCTCCTTTTTAAACACTTTTTTGTTATTTAACAAAAAGATATTGTTTTATCAATGTCATAACATTACACTTTTAGATTAATTATTCATATAATTTTTTTCAATATCATTAGTTAACAATAATTTAATTTTAAAAACAATTTAAAACAACATATAATATAGTCTAATCAAGTGGAAAAAAATCATACGTAACTGTAATTTTCAAAACTTCAATTGCACATTCTAGGTGTAACTGCAATTTCATATTCAACAAATGTAGCCTATTAGTTACTTAATGATCAATTTTTAAGAACAAATTTCTGATCTCATATTATAAACTAAAAACTTGTATGATTCTTATTGGAACTTACGTAAGACATAAACAACTTCAGGCAGCACTGAAAGAAGTTTCCTATTTTCTTGAATAACTGTCGTGTGGTATCGCACACGAATTTTTGTAGTGCAACCATTGCATTCATTGGTCTATTGATAATACAAAATTCAACAGTATTTGGAGAAATCTTACACCGCAGCCTTTGTTACTCAACCACTTGTCAAATGGGACTATTTTACATGTTTATCATATTCAACAAGTTACTGTATGCTAAACCTATAACAAAATCTCATGGTCAATATATATTTAATTATTTCAACAATGAGACCATAATAACTTCACCCAAACAAACACAAGTCTATGATTCACATCAAATGGTCACATTCATTGACCATTGCATTCTTAACATTTGGAATGATTAAAATATATTTTTTGAATATAACTTTGAATATAACTGCTTTCAATTCTTAAATTTGACATTATTTTTTTATGAAAGGTATTGATATGTGCATATATGCTGTCCTCTAGTGGATCATTTGTGCACATGATTTGAGTAAAATAGTTTTATTTATAATACACATGTATACATGCTCTAGCCAAGCCAAATTTAGCTATATTGTTTTGGCCCTCCATACACTACTTTGTCAAAAAATGATGTGCACAGAAACTGTTTATTAATAAATTAGTCTCAAATAACAAAACAACATGAACTTTCAAAGATATAAAATTATTTAAGTTAAGCCTTACAAAATTCAAAATTATTTGTAGTATCCTGTTACTTGTACACCAATTTAATGTAATTAATAATGCTATCAACAGGGTAAAGTAAATAATTTTTACTATAACTGAATTATTTCCAAACTAAACAGGACAAAACATGTAGTATTGAAGTTTAGTGAAATATCATTTCTTTTACAAACAATAATCTTTAAGACTCACAGTAGTTCAACAAATATTACCAAAAAAATGTGTAGTTTACTAGAGGTGTTAGAATAACAAAATTATTTTAAGAAACACAAATTCACATGCTTTTAGAGAGAACAGCAGTATAGACATAAATCACACTTCTCACAATGTTAGTCTGAGACAGTGTAGTGAGCACATGCAAGCATCTACAATTAAACAAACTACGATATAAAACAAATATTGTTTATATCAATTTGGTTTGACGATAGTGACGATATTGAGATGTTACTGCTTTACGTAATGCAGACGAATATTATATATTGACTTTGACAAGAACATAGATCTGACTTTAGGATATTCACCTTCTGCTGCAAGACGATTCACAATCAGCGAGAGAGAAAGATCAAAGGATGAGACGGCTCAGCCTCAATATATTCAACGATATGTTTGTTTCGAGAATGAATGACCTCTATTTGAACGAGCAAAGCAATGTGAAGGTCAGTCATCTGCGCGCGATACAAGCTAAGTAAGCAATAGCAACAACACAGAGCAGTATTAGCCAGTGTATAAGAAGCACATACACAGTCGATAGTTGTGCGCGATGCGAGTTGAGTCGATCGCGGGTTGACCCTTTCTTCTTTTTCTTTAGTTGGCTTTATCTACTATCATTATACAGCGTAAATTAAACTATAACCGTGTAACTTCGATTGGCGGCGATTATAAAAGTAAGGAATTTGGTATCAGTAATATTTCTTTTCCTTTCACTTCCCTTAACCATTAGAATTAGAACTTGGATTCAGGGATTGACCCTTTAAATGCCACAGCAGACGACGCGCATGCGTTCTCACTCGCTACTGTCAGCGCGCGATGTTTCCATATTCAAAATTCCAAATAAAGCTCATTGCTTATCTTTATATACGCTTTCTGACAAAAATTATTTGAAATATTCGGTTGATGTGTCGATATAGTCCACCGAGACTGAGTAAACATTTTCTTTTAAATCTCAAACAAATGTGAATATAATTGATTATTTCTCCAAAGACTGCTGTGTCCGAAAGAAACGTATTTATCTAAGTATTGGATATATATATATATATATATATATATATATATATATATATATATATATATATATATATATATATATATATATAATAAGGTAACGATTGTAAAAAACGACTGAAAAGAGTTTGACGAACGCAGCTTTGATCGTGATGCGATAAAATTGAGGGGACACCGATCAATCAGAATCGGAAATATAAGACAGAAAAAAGTTAGAGGTATAGCAGCGAGTAGGGAATGGGATCAGTGTGTGGACGGGAGAGCTGATCCGGAGCTACGGTAGTAGGCAAGCGGCGCGCGCAGTAGCTGCACACATTTGCGACTGCAGACCAGCACTAGCTCACGGTTCCAAAATGGCAGCGGCTACGGACGAGCTGAGTAAGTTGTGCGCTTGCTTTGAGCAACAAAAATCGAGGAACGATCGATTGTGAAGCGACTGTAAAACTACGAAGGCGTTCAAGCGATAAGCCGGCCGGTCAAAGACAGAGTCAGTCTCGAGTGCCGCGAATACATTTTCAAGTTACTGCTCGAAATTCGTATCGCGACTGCCGCCAGTCATGCGATCTCATGCCGTGCGTGCGGCGATCAGTGTTGTGTGCGCGCAGCCGTAAGCCGGACCGGCGCGAATGATTGCTTATACGCACCCTCGTGTGATAGTGGCCTAATGCATGCCGATGCCATGTCCTCGTCCCGTCCCGTCTACTGAATTATAGCCAACTGACCATCGGCTTCTCCTCTCGCCTGCTCTTTATTTCGCTCATCACTTCGAACCGAGCGTGCTGCAGATGCCCAAGACTTGCAAGACTTGGCAGTAGTTTCCCGACGACGATGCCCTGCTCCGCTTGTTTCGATTCGCCTCGGGTCATTGCAAATTACAGGGCTGCATTGCGCCCAATCAGCTATATCCCCTTCCCACGTGCGCGCGCGCCGCAACACGTGGTTTTCCGACGAGACCCACCAGGACAACGCAACTGTCAAAACTAATCTCGCACCCTCCAGTAGTTTTTGCATCTGCTGTGTCATCCTGTGTGCTCTCGCGATTCAAGTATAGCCTAGCTCCTCGAATATGGTGACCTCGCCGATGGATATTAAAAGTTCGTTCCGCTCTAACGATTATTATAACCACTACTTGGCTAGTGCCAAGTATTGATGCAGTCATAATACTTAATTCGCTAATTGCAAACTGTCTAATTTTTTATATTTTGATTAGTTTGCTTACTATAACGATTTGACATAGTACGAACATCCGATATATTTAATATTATTTTGCTTCGATTATCTACTCCGAAATATTCTTCTCTAATCTAAACTCAACAACATAGGTATAAAGCAATTAACTTTGTACAATTACTCAGCTGTTTGTATCTTCATCTACCATTTCCTTTATCGATAAAATTATAACATCCTCACTTTGTGTATTTAACATACATTTCAAATAGCTGCTTTCTAAACATTTTATTGTATTCTAAGCTCATGTTAGCTATAATATTCTATTACTAGCTCTTCAAGTAGCATATTGCACATATATTAGGAGTAACTTGAACAAACTAATCTTTGGCAATTAAATCTTCTGCCATTCTATTAATTTCTAGATCTAGCTTTGTTGATCTACACATCATCGTGTACTTAATATTTTAATAAATTTTAACAAACAAAATTTTCTGGTGTTCTTATTATATAATAAAAATTAAATCAATATAAAGATAGCCATTGTATACTTTCTTCTTTTATTTATTTCTAGAAATAATACATTACAGATTCATAATGATTTATATTATCTAACCTGATATCAATATCTCATAAACTGCATCATTGTTATCCTCATAAAATAGCAAAACAAATTTTGACATTACTTATGTCATATGTAATATTTGTATAGATCAATTTGTCTGTTTTATAGAATATCCTATATCAATTTCTGTATGATTAACATGAGAAGTTTTGAATAGTTTTCCAATATTCGAATGGATATAACATATAGAATTTTGAAAATATTGAGATCACAGATTAATAGTGTGTATTTTAGTTTTACTAGAGCGTGTATTTTTACGCCTGGGCTCAGCAGAAACTGACGAGCAGTTGCAATCATCAATATGCAAATTTTTACCTCCAGTACTGCTAAAGCTTTCAAGTTCACAAGAAGGTGTAAGAAAAAAAGTTATGGAACTACTAATACATATAAATAGAAGGATAAAAAGTAGACCACAAGTGCAACTTCCTGTAGAAGCTTTATTACTGCAGTATCAAGATCCTGCAGCTAGTTCTTTTGTGATTGTGAGTAGGCCAATAAATTTGAAAACTATTTTCAAGTTTTAATTTTATATGCAAATGTTTTCAGAATTTTACAATAATATACATTAAATTGGGATATCCTCGCATGGAAATGAGTAAACAAGCAGAGTTGATACCCACTGTGTTAAATGCTATTCAAGGAAAACCTTTGTCACATCAGGATAGGTAAATCTAATTTCAGAGTAGAAATATTATTATTATTTCTAGTATTATAAAATAAATTTCCTCTAGCTTGTTGTTGATAATCATGCCAGCGTTAGCTCATGTGAATATACCAATGGATCCAGAAAAAAGAGCTTCGCTTCTTGGATTACAAGATGAGCCTCAAACAGCAAAGCAATTGCTCAATTTTATGCTGGACATGCTTCTATTGCCATATGGGTAATTTCTATGCCTACATCTAATGAAAATGGTTTACCATTATAAAAATATTTTGTTAATCATGTTATTTCTTTAAATATGTGAACAGAGCTATAGGACAAAATGAAAATTCACAAGCTGGGCACCCAATTGACTGGTCACAATTTCCTGTTCCTCCAGGCTTGAGTGAATATGCATTTAAGCGTGTAATTGGTGAAACTCCTCCTTTGGCAGAGCAACTTGAACAAACAAAATTAGGGATTATTAAATTCTTAGCTGGAGGATTTTTCCCTGATTCAGAAGTTCTTATTCATTTAATTGTTGCTGCTGCTGACACGAGATTTAGTGTTGCCAATTTAGCAGATTTAGAATTGAAAAAAATGGTCAAGTATGTTTTTGATTGTAGTAATTTTATTGACATTGATACCAAATTAAAATAATTTATATGACATTGTATTTTTAATTATTATTTTTTTCAAAGTACATTAGACTGGTCATCAATGCAGTTAGCTGCACCACTTTATTCATTATTTTTGGGGACTGATGCAGTGGCTGCTCAGAAAGAAGTTAAACCAGATATAAAGCGTACTCCTGCCAGTATTAGAATACGACTGAAATTACTGTACTATTTATGTAGAGTAACCAAAGCTGGCTTTATAATTCCACCATGTATTCAAGTACAGTACTTTTTAAAATACTATTATGATGCATGAAACTTATAAGATTTTAGTGAAAAAATATATAAGTTCTAATAAGTTAAGAGCAGATGGACATCATTGTTATCTTTGAAAATTGAATATTAAAGTAATTGGTTTCTTTAGGTTATTTTTGAATCACTGTATGGGGCTAGCAATACAAATTCTAAGCTCAAATCATTGGCTCTTCAGTTTACATCAAATCTCGTTCAACAGTAATACATTAAGCTTTATCTTATTAGTTAATTGTAAGAGCATTCATCCTGCCAATGTTTGTAATATTTTATATTAGGTGCAGTTTAACTCCAATTGTTCGAGTGGCTAAAGTAATTTTAATTGGAATGATGAAATTGATTACGGAAGAAGCTGAATCTGCTCATAGACTCATGGCTTATACCATTATTGGACAACTTGGTCAAAGAATTCCAACTCTCGTTAATAAAGATCTCAGTTTATTGCAAAATTTCTTCGACATGCTCACGACGGTACGCTATTGTTTTTGTCGAAAAAATAATTATTTCCTGTTACATAATTTTAATTTTAATCAAATAATATGAAGACCGACGGTGATTCACGGCGAACCATAAGGGACGCTCTAATTAGCATGACATCAGCATTTGTACTTAATAAAGATGATGATGCCGGATTGAATTTAATGGTGGGCTTTTTAGCATCGCACATTGAATCTCCAGAAGTTCACGTCAGGTGAATGAAAACTATACACAAGTTTGAATAAGTACAGAGATATTTTTTATTTATAAGTAATAAAAATTCAATCGAAAATTCTTTATTATCCTTAGATTCGTAGCAGTTCATTATTCGGCAACGGTTTTTCCTTCAAACCATGCACCATCTAGGTACCTTCTACTATTAGCAGCTGGTGATTCCAAACCAGAAGTTCAAGCTGAAGCTTTGAAATCACTTTATGGAACGTCATATAAAAATGAGCGTTATAAACATTTTGCTAAAGATATTGCATTACCGAATTTTCCTGAATTAATGTCTTACATTTATTCGAAAGTTCAAGCAAGACTCAATAGCAATAATAAAATAACCGTGGGAAATAAAGTTTTGCCCTTTAATACTGCTACTTTTGTAGAGGTAAAAGATTTTATGTTTGAAAGCAGTTTTTGTTTAAATAAAAAGTATTGTATTTTTTCAGATAATATCATACCTCCGAATTTGTTTGGCAAAAAGTTCTGATATAACCCTTCCAAACGATTCTCTGGAACATCCTTGCGAATTCACACCGTTAATTGGACGTTATTTAGAAAAACTACTAAAAGAAAATGCGGACAGTTTATACCATTATGTAGATATTATTGTTCTATTCTGCCAGGTTACTGGAGGTGATTACACATTATAATTAAATCATTTACTAGAAAAAAAAAATTTATTAATTGACAATTTCTGTGTTCATGTTCCAGACGAAGTGGCTTTGAGTGCTCTGCTCGAGGTTGTTGGAACGGTTCCAAATCACATCATTGAACGATATTCAAAAGATCAATCATGGATCCAGTCGTTGTTAACGTCGTCCAAGGAATATGTGAGGCATCTTGCGGCAAAAATTTATGCAATTTATGCGGCACATGCATCAACAAATGATTTCGAAAATCGAATTTCAAAAATACTGAAAACTACAAAAGACAAAGTTTTAGAACATCAACAAGGAGCTATATTAGCTTTGTCTTACTCTATAGAAAGGAAATTAACGTTACGGAAATGTGAAGATGTTAATACGATAACTACTTGGAACACCTACGTCGATGCTGTAAAAACAATTTGTGAGTTGCACTTTTTACAAGAGCTTATTTTTATTATACACATTCATTAATATTTTTCTCGTACAGGTGATTTTCTCAATGCAAGTAACCCATTGCTTTTGAACGCAGCAATTAAAGGTATCGGAGAGATCGGAAAAACTTTTTCTTTACCTTTGCCTGCTGAAGCCGAGAAAGCTACTAGCAAAAAAAGCGTCACGGAGAAGTTGTTTTCAATTTTTATGAACGTTAAATCAAATGCCAAGGTTAGATACAACTGCTTATTCGTACTTACTCTGAAATTTGTCTTATAAATTAGATACGCTATTTTAGGTAAAAGAACGAGTTGCGCTGAGTTTGGGTCACATTTGTGTAGGAGAAGAATATCCTCATACAAAAATGATTGTCGAAAAATTTATAGAAACTGCTAATGATGTAAGTTTTGAAAAAGCTATAATATTAACACTCGGTTATGCATAATTTAAGTTTTTATTTTTATAGACAAGAGACATTAACATACATTTGTCTATTGGAGAAGCTTTAGTTTGTTGTATTCAGGGACCTGCTTCGCCAGCAGCTAGAGATGCATGGAAGACACTTCCATCTGAACATAATGTTCCATTTATGAAAGAAAGTGATGATTTGCTAGTATTTGTCATTGATAAATTACTGTCAGTTGCTAATAAACCACATCCAAACTCCCGTCAGGTATATAACATTTAATTTCTTAAATTTTAAATAAATAGAAATTAAATCGTATTGTCATAACATTTTTATCAAATTTATATACTTTAGGCCGTTTGCACTTGGTTACTAACAATTGTAAAACACAATGCCAAACGTGAATGTGTATTAAAAAGGTTGTTTGATATACAGAATACGTTTATGAATTTCTTGTCTGAAAATAGTGGTAAAATCTGTGCATATTTTTGTGAACATATGTTTTTCTACTTTACTATAGAAAATCATTTCTTTTTACTCTTTTTAGATATTGTGCAGGACATTGCTTCAAAAGGTTTATACTTAGTTTATAATAGCTGCTCAAAAAATAGTAAAGCAGCTTTAGTCTCTGCAATCACAAATCAGTTATTGCATGGTAGAAAAGAAGTGCGAAAAGTTAATGACAATACAAAATCGGTTAATGAAGGAGAACTAGGAAAATCGGCAACTGGGTAAGATAAATTATTTAATTATTAAAACTTATTTATGCGGTTATAGAATTCAAAAAATACTTTTATTCGCAGAGGCAATTTGACGACATACAGGGAAATATGCTCTTTAGCGTCTGATCTAAATAAACCAGAATTGACGTATCACTTTTTACAATTGGCTAACAACAATGCCTTATGGACTTCTAAGAAGGGAGCGTCGTTAGGATTTTCTCAAATCTCAACCTATATCAATGAAGATCTTTCAGCTCAATTACCAATAATCATACCAAAACTGTATATATATCAATTTGATCCAATAACTAAAGTACAGCAAAGCTTTGCAAGTATTTGGCGTGCAATCGTACCTTCAACTGCAAAAGCTGTGAGTTTGTTCTTTTATATTTTTGTCATACTGCGTTACCTTGTCATCAATAATAATGTAATTTTTGGATTTTTGTAGCTGGAACAATATCATAACGAAATATTAGATCATATCTCAGTAAATCTAATAAACAACCAATATCGTGTTCGGATTAGCTGTTGCTTGGCCTTGACCGATCTCGTAAAGTCAAGCGCTCCAATTGATTATGCAAAATATGCTCCTATATTGTGGAAACAATTATTTAGAGTAATGGATGATATTCACGAGGGTACTAGACAAGAAGCTACAAATACTGCTAAAGTGTTTAGTAGAGTGAGTGTGCTATTCTTGTCCAAATTTTTAAAGTTCTTCTTCTGCAACATGGTTGTCATTTACAAGAGGGTGCTAATATGGGCAAATTTTTTTGATAGATTTGTGTCCGACAATGCGATGTATCTCACGGAAAATCAAGAGAAGAGCTTTTACAAGCAATAATTCCTGTGCTACTTGAAGATGGTACCACGCATTCGGAGCTGATGGTTCGTTCGGTAGCTCTAAAAACTATTTCACAACTTGTATCGTCCGCTGGAAATTTATTGAAACCTTCTCTAGCGATTTTAATTCCTGCGCTTATAAATTCAATCGGCGATTTCTCTGAAAATACACAAGTGATGCAATTGCATAATATGATGGCAAATTCTCCCGAAATGCAAGAAGCCATCGATGAGTCAACGGCTCAACAAACTAAAAATCAATTTTCTACCGATACTATGACGAAGGTACCTTCAGATTTCGCTTTCTCGATTTGGCTATTTTATTTTCTTTAATTCATGCTGTCTTATTGGTTTCAGTGTATACAATATATAGATGGGCCTATATTAAAAGAACTAATGCCAAAAATTATTGATATAATAAAATCCAGCCTGAAATTAGGAACAAAACTAGCATGCTCGAATTTCTTAATAAAAATTAGTTTTTTTATGAAGCATGAGCTGCAACCATATGCCGGTAAGACATTTCATTTCTTTTAAAGCTAATGTACATATATTTATATTTATGTTATTTTCTCCATCGAATTTTCAGGTAAAATACTAGCAGCACTCATCAATGGATTAACTGATCGAAATGCTGGAATAAGAAAAAACAATGCGATAACAATAGGTCATATTGTGGGGTGTGCAAAAGAATCTAGTCTGGAGAAATTATTCAATATGTTAAATACCTGGTATATGGAACGAGAAGGTTATTTATACTAAACATAATTATCAATTTTATGCTTATGCAGGACTAATTTATGAAAATTATTGAATATTTTCCTTTTCAGACGACCCTATTCGTTTGGCTATAGGTCAAACTTTGCAATCTATCAATAATCATAATCAAGACGTTTTGAAGAATTATTCCAACATTGTAATGCCATTAAGTTTTTTCGCTATGCACGCAGAAAAAGTTGTAGGTGTAAACGAGAAAACGGTGGAATTGTGGAGTGAATTGTGGTCTGAAATAACGCCTGGAACGGAAGGTGGTATTCGACAAAATTTAGAAGCTATTACGAATACTTTAAATGCAGCTTTAGAATCTCCTTCGTGGACTATGAAAGCTCAAGCTGCTAACGCCGTATCGACCGTCGCAACTAAATTAGGGGCTGGAATAGAGGAAAAAACTCGAACTTCTCTGTTAAACATTTTAGTTAATGGATTGCAGGGAAGAACTTGGAATGGGAAGCATAGACTACTTAATGCTTTATCCACACTGGCCTGCAACAGCAAGTAAGATTTTTGTCTGCGATTAACAACATTCAATAAGAGAGAATGGACCCGTTATTATAGTTCACGATTACTTATTTTTTTTTACAAATACTATCATTTATCATGTACAGATTTATCTATTATTTATTGTTATTGTTACTGTGATTTCAAGAATTACGTCTGTGTGGAACGCTGCAGAGGTATACTAGGTACCTGTATGCATTATTATTGGTTCCCTGTAGTCATGAGTATATACGGCCACCTCCCCATAATTTATTAAATTGGTGCAGGATATATTAGTTATTTATGTACCTTGAACCAGCCAAACGCAAATACGATATAGGGAAGATGTTTGTAGCGAGGGATAGTATAAGGTCGACGCAATGAGCTCGCTACACTCGCCGTCTCGGCTCTTAGACTGTCCTGCGCTGATAACATTTCCTCCTCCGGTGTAATGGCGCTCGTTACGCTGCTAACGTATAAATAATTATTTCGATAATTGACAATCAATATTGTGAGCTCTCAATATTATTATTATTCATTTCTTTTTTACTTTACACTTATGAAACCGCAGATAGAGTCCAAACTTTTCATAAAAGAAGTCAGAAATTTAAAAATAATGGGATCATTTTTAAAGTATTTCATTACTTTATTTACAGAGAAGCTCTGAAAAATGATCAGAAATTGAAAGAACTGATCATTGAAACTTTATATCGAGAAAGCAAAAAAGACAATCTCGAATATCGGCGCTATGCTTTAGAGGCCTTTACTAACGTATTACACGAGCTGGATGAAGATAGATTTACACAAGTATATGATATTGCTCAAGAAGTTTTACCCAAAGTAAGTTTCCATGCCACTTATAATTCTTTTTATGTAGATTCTTGCATTTACAATTGTTATTTGCATAACAGTTGACGAAAAAAAGTGAAGACGATGATGACGAATCGGCAGAAGAGAATAAGAAAAAGCGCGAAGACAAAATCAAATTGCAGGAAACTATCTATGAAGGTCTTGGTAAGGCTTGGCCGACTCGTAAAGATACTCAAGGTATTTTTAATGCTTAGCTGTATACGTACTTATTGGTTAATCTTATGCTTTTAATAATTGTAACATTTTAGATCAGTATTGCTTGCAATTGGTGATGCACTGCTTTGAAACATTGCCTATAAGTACTCGACCAGTGCAAGTTGCAATTTTAACAACGCTGAATCGTTATGTTGATAAGCTTGTTCTTTTAAGAATTGATTTCAGTCAAACATCGGAGAAAGAAAAGGAAATGTTGGATTCAATTTGTAGTACTCTTCTTAAAATACTAAGATACGCCATCGGTAAAAATAATTTAGCATTTATCATAATTAGTCAAATAAAAATATGCTAACGATAAACGTTCCATCTTATTTTTAGGTATTGCAAAGTATACGCGAATTAGAAAAGAAGCATTGAATATTGTGATGTCACTGTCAAAAAAACTGACGGAAACTCAAAATATTAAGCTACTGAATTTTACAACCGCTTTAATGAAAGGTATGTTAAATGAGCTGTCAAAGGATAATCAACCAGAAATTAGATCCAGGGTTGTTGATATAAAAGAAATACTTAAATTGTAAATTTACAACAAATATTTATGAATATGAACAAATGTGATTTTGATCAATGGTCGAAAAAAACGTCTTTTCCATCTTTGTAATAATGTTCTTAAATATTTTAAGTAACATTTCTTTTATCTTTTCTTATTATTTTCTCTCACTTAAAATATTTTAAATCAAAGAGAATATTGTGCATAATAGATCAACTGTCAGTTTTATAATTACATAATTTTTATTTACTACGATTTGTTTATAAACTTCGTGAAAAATTGTCGATAATTTTGGAATCGCGAAGATGCAATATCGGCGAAACTTGTTTTTTTGCTTGTCTACAAGAAATTAGTGGGAAGGATTTATTTATATTACATTATAATGCAATAAAAATATATTACGCAAGATTTACGCAAGATTTCAATTCATTTATCACCGATTCGTATTACAATGCATTAATGTAATATCAATGGAAAAAAAAGACAAACTTATTTTATTTAATATTTATTAAAAACTGAATAAACTAAATTATTTATTTAATTTAATACAAAATATTAATCTAACTTTTCCAACAAAACGGTTGCTCCCTTAGTTTTATTTGTTTTAAGATTTTTCAATTTCTTCAATCTAAATTTCAAATTAGAGACGACTTTTTCAGATTCGTTTGCGATTAATGAGACCAATAAAAAGCATGCTCTATTATTATTAATCCAATGGCTTAATATCTCGTCAGTGAGATATTTATGGAGTGTTTCACCAAAGGTGACTCCATTACTTTCTAATCGCTCAGGATCCATACGAATAAGCTTCTTAATAATCATGTGCAGTCCAGGTTCTTCGATAGCTTCAAATGTTTTCGTTCCCACTGTTATTTTAGAATCAGAATTTATTAAAAATTTAGCAATTGCATCAAAAGCTGCTTCTGGTTTATTCGCTTGACTTGCTTTCAAAATAGCGAACGTTACCATTTGAACAGAATTAGATGACAGCCAAACGTTCGCATTATTTGCAATACTTTCTAAGAAAGTGTGGATAACATTGTCTAGTAGCTCTTTTTCACGAATTTCCGCTGGTTTCTTACTGGTCTCGTTGTTATCTCCTGTTTTCAAATACTCCACTAAAGCAGGATGAAAGTAATGAGTGTCTCTCCTAGCGACTATATACAAAATAACGCGTTTTCCATATTCATTCACGACGATTTCATCCAGATTATTAAGCATTTCTTGAAGTAAAATTTTCTTCAGGAGCACAGTATCATCAACAGAGTCCAAAAGAGCCATGATCATCAAATGTCCATGTTCTGACATAACAATGCTTTTTACATGATCTTTTAAAGCTTTCATTATAAATTTTCTATCTTTATTTGTTCCATGCCAAATGCACAAGTTGCCAGCTTTTGCCCCATCTTTAGTCTGTGATAGTTCTGTAATTAAAGGTCTTACCATAACAATAATTTCAGCTCTATCTGTTTTAGAACAATTTGTCAAATACTCATAAAGTAATGTATGGACAAGTGTTGAATTTATGAGTTGTTTATTTAAAATCTTAACCAAACAAGCTTTCACTGCAGACAATGTAGCTGTTTTCATTCCTTCTGAATCGGTGTATACATCTGTCAATGTCTGTATGTTAGGGTCTTTAGATTTCTTGAACATGTCACCATAAAATTCTTGTTTGAACAAATTTTGCTCAGACTTTGATACAATTTCAACATAAACTTTTTCAAACAGTGATGCTGATACATTATTAGACACTAGTTTCACTGCGTTTCCCATACATGTTTGCATAAGAATATTTTTCACTTTACTTGAGCCACACTTTAGTAGTGTTTTTATTACATTCTTTGCATATATTGAACTAAACATTTTTTGCAAGTGAGGCTTCAGTTCTTCAACTATTGCAAACCTAATATCTTCAGAACAATACTTTATTTGCCATTGAATCACTCGAGACAGATCATGAGCAAATATCATTTTAGCATAATGTTTCTGAGCAATTCCATGCATCTTTTTAGTCAAATTTTCTTGAGTTTCTTTAGGTAAATCACTTCTTCTTAGCTTTTCACCTATCTGTTTCAATTGCAGTGCTATTTCATATGAATCATTTAACTTTTTTGCTCTTCGTTGATTTCTCAATTCTTTTTGTTGTTTCTTATATTCCACCCAGTCAGGTTTTTCACCTGTACTATCAGTGTTTTTGTCATTCTTTTTTAAATACTTTTTTTTGTCTAAGTTGGGTTGTCTATTTGATGAAAACTTTGCATTTTTTTGTTTAAACGATCCATCATTTTTTAATCTAGATTTCTCATACTGAGGTGCTTTTAATTTTTTCTTGTCTTTAGATTTATGTGTAGACGGTCTTTTAGTATTTTTAGCTGGTTTAACTAATTTTTTACTAACTTTGCTTTTCTTTGTTTTGGTAGAGCCTTCTGAAGAATCGCTTTTCCTTTTCATTTTATATTCTTATCAAACCTAAAATGAAAAAGTTGGAACAATAATAACTCATAATTTGTTTTATTATTACTATCATTCAATAATAATATACATTAACTTGCTTTGACCAAATTAATTTATGTTTAATGATAATTGTTATCTTTTAGTAATAAATAAAACTATAAAATTTCAAATACATCGATTTAACGATATTTTACAAAATATACTTTTATTATTATTACATTAACATTAAAAATTGACAAAATCACACTGTGACATACTCACAATCGCACTCGATGTAATAATTGATTTTGTAGGTTATATTGTCACATGGCATCCAAACATGAGTGAACTTAACAATTTTAAAAGGTTTTAAAAACTAGTACTTAGATTTAATTTTTTTTGAGATAATTGATAAATTAACTATGCCATTAGATAGTTCATTAAAAAAGCAATAATTTTTTCATTATCATTTGTTAGTTTATCTTCGAAAAATTCCTTAAAATAATAAAATAAATCGTTCGTGCTGGGCTTCAACACTCAGGTTCGTTGTACGGTAAAATCTAAAAAAATTAGTTAAAAAAAAATAATTTACAAATTAGTCGTTAGCTCGTGAGACGAACTAATGGTACCGAGGATAAATTTGTTAATAAATTAATTATTTAAATAAATAAAAATAATTTTTTTGGCCTACTGGCTCATGAACACGCGAACAACCGTCAAAGCGACGCGCACCTCTTGAGTCTTGACCCCTGCAATACCGGTAATATACATACCAGTAATACTCAGCGGGAAATCGATAGTAATCGTTCGACAAAACTATAGAAAAACTGCACGTCGTTAGAAATAGGAAAATCGATTATTAATCCCGCGCAATTTCGTTTTAATTAAAAAAAAATTGCTAGAGTAATTGACCCATTGATGGTCGATAATTGTATCGACATGGCGTTTAAATACTGTTTTTATATAAATAAATTTGCTCAATCGTTAGCAAAAATCACGTGCAGTTTTTCCATGCAATCAAAATATTATAACTATCCGTTAAAGAATAAATATAATTTCTCACTACAGCGATGGGATACATAATATTATGCTTCTGAAAGATTTAATCGATAATATAGATTACTATCGATTTCCCGCTGAGTCCAGTCTCTCTCTAGATAAGATCCGATGGTGAGAAAACCGCGCAGTATTTTTCCACAGTCCGCTGTTTCACTCTTTTCCAATTTTGTAGTAACAATAATTAAAAGCAATCTGGCAATAGCGTTGAGATATGTCAAGGTCGGAACATGTAAACACAGTTGATTAGAAGAAAGTAACTAATTAATTTTCTAAAATAACTTTTTTCATTGTTATTGTTATTTTGTGTAATTTTATAGATCAACATTATTTTTATTTATATATATTTTTTTCTAATAAATTGTGTTTACATGTTCCGACCCCGACATATCACAACGTTATTGCCAGATTGCTTTTAAGGCCCCGGTCCCATAGGTACGTACGGATGCGGACGAATACGGACGCGAATCGCAACTGTAGTAACATCACTAAAAATATCTAGTTCGATTGTTTAGTACCAACACTACCGGTAGTGAGTAAAAGTGACTGTTGTTTAAAACTGTAGCGCCGAACGTACCACATTTAATGTTCAAATGTCAGGTCTACAATTTACTTTTCAAATTTTCATGAATATTGCTTATTGATGAGTATGCCAATGTAAAAAAAGTTTTTGGGATGATTAATACATATCATTTATATATATTTTCTTCTTCTTCTCATATATTCAAGTACTTCCATAAAATTAAGGCCTAATTCCACTAATTGTAGTTGAAAGTCTATCAATTTTCTATCATTTGCCATCTTATAGACTGCAATAATGTAAAGGTTAGATAGGCGTTCATTAAATGTGATACGTTCGGCGCTACAGTTTTAAACAACAGTCACTTTTGCTCACTACCGGTAGTGTTTGTACTAAATAATCGAACTAGATATTTTTAGTGATGTTACTAGAGTTGCGATTCGCGTCTGTATTCGTCCGCATCCGTATGTATGTACATACAAAAAGTTACATAATCCCGCCCCTGGTACTGCAGGATAAGGCTCTCTCCAAATAAGATCCGAGGGTCAGAAAACCACGTGGTATTTTGCCACAGTCCGCTGTTTCGCTCTGTTCCAATTCTGTAGTAACAATAGTTAGGCCCCGGTCCATGGAGACTGTATACAGGAGGCGAGGCAGAGACGATTTATCTAGGCAACTTTCTCTCGGAGGGAATTAGCCGATTTTAGCGCCGTGCTCGGTAGTTAGTGAACCACTAGAAGACTTATAATGAGCGCAGCTTATCGACCATGGAGATATGTATACAGTCTCCATGTTATCGACCATGGTACTGTAGGTGACGAAGATAACCCGCCCTTGCATATCTTTTTGTAAAAAGGAATCCATTAATTTTATAGAAAATTAATACTATTTTACGATGAAAAAGTCTTGCAATATATCGTTTTTGTTATTTTTTTGAAATGGTAGAATACGCTTTTCGATCACTCGATTTTAATAATTTTATAGTTTTTTTTGTTTTTATATTTCCTTATTAAACAATATAATGTCTGATAATAAATAACATTCGATATACTTAACTTTAATGATAGTTACGATGGTTAATGTGGTCATTGTCAACTATCCACGAAATTTTTACCGTGTAAAATAATTATCTTTTTAATAGAAAAATATTGTTACGAAAGCCACAATTCAATTGTATAAAAAGCATAGATTTTTAACATAAAAATTTACAATAATTATAATTATTTTTTAATTTGTTAGTAATTGTCACATGTTTTGAATTTAGTAAAAACTAAATGTTGGCAGTTACTTTGATTTTGAATGACAACAAAAAATGAATCAATTATCTTCTTTAGATTGGGAGACGCGACATTTGGACAACGAGTGCGAAAATTGCAATCTGCATTTGGAGTCGTTCTCCAGTGATGCTGCACGCCATCAACTTACAAATGCTAGAGAGAGTTTTGGTGGCTTAATTAAGTCTAGCGACAATGTTTTTGAATTAATTAAGATGGTTGAAAATTGTGTGACCTTTATAATTGAGTGTAATAATGGCATGACTAGAGATAGTATGCAGTTCATTGTTCAAAAAATAATAAAAACGAACTCTCTAGCGATTGTTGGTTGTACAGATCATGTAATAAAATTAACATACAAATTCATAATTTACTATTTAGAAAGACGAATGAAAATGGCGTGCAAGCGACACAATATTGTCCATGATGCAAAAAAATTAAAATCTAAAGAACTACGCAAACAATCAAAATATTAATTTCAGTTTTTATATTCATTATTTAATTGTTTATATTAAATATATGAGGGAACATCATCATCAATCAAACCCCACACATAATACCTCATCTAAACGTAGAATTTCTCGTTATTTCCAAATCCGGAATCAAAAATAGAGGTTCCTATGCAAAAAATCACTGTGACCTTCAAATGACCTTGAAAATCATTCTAAGTGTGTGTGCGTGTGTGTAACAATCTCACTTAAACAAACTTCTAAAACTTTTTCGAAAAATTTAGTTATTATATATATATTTTTTTTTTCAAGATAGGAAATTCAACGTTATTCACTCAACTTTGAAAATGTACATTTACGAACAAAATAGCAAGATTTTTTTATCGTAAAACAGTATTCATTTTCTATAAAATTAATTTATCCCTTTTTATAAAAAAAGATATTCGCGTGCGGGTTATCTTCGTCACCTACAGTACCATGGTCGATAACATGGAAACTGTATACGTCTCCATGGTCGATAAGCTGCGCTCATATTGTAAGTCTTCTAGTAGTTCACTAACTACCGCACGCAGCGCTAAAATCGGCTAATTACTTTGGGACTGTGACTTGGGTTTGCCGAACGCTTTAACACGGGCGGTATAGGCCTGCCTCGCACCCTCGCGAAGACAGCCCGACAAACATATAATGTAAAAAAAGAAAATCATCATATCTTATTTATTTTTAATTGTACATGATAGAAAACTAGTTATTTTTAATTGCACCATTTTAATTTTGCCAAAAATTAGCAACAAAGGGTATTGAATATTTGCCTTCAATATATTGCCTTTGGAAGGAAAATATTTAAAAAATGAAATGGCAGAAAAATTGTACCTTCTGTAAATTAAATTGTACCATCCGTAAAATAGCATAAATTTACTTAGAAAATAAATAATATGAAAACAACCAATTGACATTTATTATGAGTAACCGATCCGGAAGTACACTGTGCGCATGCAGTCAATTGGTTGTTTTCATATTATTTATTTTCTAAGTAAATTTATGCTATTTTACGGATGGTACAATTTAATTTACAGAAGGTACAATTTTTCTGCCATTTCATTTTTTAAATATTTTCCTTCCAAAGGCAATATATTGAAGGCAAATATTCAATACCCTTTGTTGCTAATTTTTGGCAAAATTAAAATGGTACAATTAAAAATAACTAGTTTTCTATCATGTACAATTAAAAATAAATAAGATATGATGATTTTCTTTTTTTACATTACATGTTTGTCGGGCTGTCTTCGCAAGGGTCTGCCTCGCCTCCTGTATACAGTCTCCATGCCCCGGTCCCATAGGTACATACATGTACGGTGTATGTGAGTGCACTATACGTTACCACGGTGTGATGTTGATGTGTATGTTGCGTGACAATGCTGCTGTAGGAGCTTCGAGATTCATCCATCGGTTCTTTGCCGGGGTTGTGTAAATAATATTAATTAAATTGAGATAAAAATTAAGATATCTATTGTACAATGACAAAAAATGGAAACAATAAGTGTGATATAATACTTTATTAAAAAAAAACTTTGAAATAAGATTGTTTACATTTGTTGATTATATCTTATTTCGCTATACGCACAATTCATAACAAGAATATCTTTAAACTAATTTGCTTCGATCAACGCATTACAACAATATAATTAACATATATTTTGCTGAAAACTATGACTGCAAGTCTTATGTACTTATTCATTCCATACTTCAGTCAAATTATTGCACGATATACGAATTTAACAGTCTTAGTAATTTCCGATATCACATTTTATTAATTGCATCACATATTATTAGTCTAATATTAAAAATGCTAAGATTACATTTTTTATCACCACATTGGTCTTGAGATAATACATTTTTTATGGTTGTAATCCAAAGGACAGTTCGGATCTAAGATCCGTAATGTGTAGACGTTTTTACATGTCGCTCCGAAAGTAAATAACAAGCTTATAAGTGAATTTATAAGTGAATTGTAACCCAATTATGTTCTCAATACGAAGGGCAGGTCTAGCCCA